ATTTGGTAACTGCCATATAAAAAGTGTTCAAATAATTCTAAACAAGGATAAGGTAACAAGTTCAAGAAAAAACACAACGCAATGTTAGAATGAAAAACACAGGAAAGGGGGTATAAATAAATTGAGGTCTGCTAGAAAGCAAGCATGAAGTTCCAGGATAGTTGTTTTGATTCCTCTCCATTATCTCAGGGTTTAAACACAATTCCAGGAACTTCTTTGTCAAAATGTGCATTAATTATTTGTGAAATAATAAATTAGCATACACAGTTGACACCCACATGACTCTTGCCTAGTATGAAAGGCTTCAGATTTCTCTACTTTATTAATTGCTATATCATTTGGGGTTTTTAATTTTATTTTTATCTACTTATTTTTATTGTATCTGTATGAGTGTTTTGCCTGCAGATATGTAAGTGCACCACTTGTGTGCAGTGCCCATGGAGGCCAGAAGAGGGTGTCAGATCCCCTGGAACATGAGTTACAGATGGTTATTAGAGGCTATGCAGGTACTGGAAACTGAACCTGGGTCCTCTGCAAGAGAAGTAAGTGTTCTTACCTGTTGAGCCATCTTTCTAGCCCCATTTGTTTTTATTTTTTATTTTTATTTTTTATTTTGGTCTTTTTGAGATAGGGTCTCCCTGTTGCCCCAGCTGGTCTGGAACTCTATGCAGACCAGGCTGGCCTCGAACTCACCGAGATCTGTCTGCCTCTGCCTTCTGAGTGCTGGAATTAAAGGCTTGCACCACCACGCCCAGCTTCCATTTGGGTTTTTAGAAGAATAGTTACCTGTATAATAAGTCAAGGCTGTGGTGGCCCATGCCTGGAATCTTAGCAATTGAAGAGGCAGAGGTAGGAGGATCATGAGTTTGAGACCAGCTTGAGAGAGAAACCCTATCTCAAAGAGAGAGAGAGAGAGAGAGAGAGAGAGAGAGAGAGAGAGGAAACTAGAAAAATTCTATTGAAATAAGGGTAGCTTTAAAATTCTAAGATATCCCAAATTTAATGACAGAGACCAGAGCGACAAGAGATAGAAGTTAAACGCTCACGTCTTACTGCAAAAACAACAAAATGTTAGTTTATATCGAAACCTTGGTTTAAATCCTATCACAGTGACCACCACACCCTGTTTTTCATATTAATTTTTAGGGACTGTTACCCTCAACCAATTCAGAAACAACCACTTTTCTCCTTATGGACTGCCCTCCTATCCCCAGACTTTCCTGTTCAGTGTCATATTTGACCCTGCCCCCATATAGCCAGTATACGTTAGAGCGCATTTCTTCTCCTTAGCTATGGTTTGGTGAATATTTGCCAACTACTACCCAGGCTTCAGGTGGTTGTGGGAACCTTTCCTAGGACCTTGTCCCTCCCTTTTTTGACTAGCATCTGTTATGGACCAAAAAACACTCTGTTTCAGAGATCTTTTGGTCTCTATAGTTGTGGTTTCACCAAGTCCATGATATGTCATCCATACCTCAAAATAACCTCAAGAAGAGATGTATTCATATACACCAAAGTGTAGAAATAGCAGTCATGGAAATAACAGGTAGTAAAATATGTCCCCTAGTACCTTATGCACCATACTTGCAGTATAGTCATGTCCTGTATCTTCCTTAAAAGCTAGATTTAAGACCTACCCTGCCCCAAACACAGCTATATGAAAGAAGCATGGCTCCATTGCTGCCCACACAACCACAAACAAGGCTATGATGATGCATTAAGGTTTGGAAGTTTAGACAACTGCTGTAAGCGATGTGTGTAGGCATAGGCTCTAGACTCCCTGGCCCACCCCTCTTACCACTAGTGATATGATTGTTGTCTTAAGAGACACATGATTTAAATTCCCGTAATCTGTCTAGGAAACTTTCCCTATAATCCTTCAATTAGTCTAGCTCAGTGATTCTCAAATTGCATTTACAAAAGAATTATCATTTTTGAATAGCACATACAGAACCATATCTCCTATACTTTAAGGGAGATTAAAGGGATTTTCAGAGATAATTTTATTTGTGCTTAATTTTCTTCTTATTTGGTCATTTCATCACCACTTTGTTCCTTTGTGTAACACGAGATTTGACTCTACTTGAGTGAACTGTCAGGAATATAATGGAAGATTTCCTGTGCCACCTGAAGGAAAAACTAGAAAATCCATTGTGGTCCCTGTACCCTCTCAACCTCCCCACAGTGGCATATGACAAGCATTGCACTGATGTACAAAATGCACAGGTACTATGCTTTTTATTTTCTAGTGAAAATAGAATCATGTTGCCAAATATTCAGGCAACTTTAGAAGAGAACTTAGATTCTGAGATTTAACTTTGGGGGCTCAGAAAGAGAAACCTCAAAAGTGTGACACTTTGACATGCTGAGGTAAAGAACCTGCCTCAGAATCAAAGTCTGACTAACCTTTCCGGGTTCCTCTCACAGGGAAGGCCTTTTGCTGAAAGCCCTCTTAGCTGACTGAGAAATGATGCAATTACCTTAAACTCCCTGCCTAGGAATCTCATCAGATAACCAGGAAAGACTGACTATGGAAAATGAAGAAACTGAAAGTCTTCACCACACCTAGACAAAGCTTTCATCTATTTTTTCTGAGTGGAGCACCCTGAGGTTACCTGGGAGACCTAAGAATCTTTGTCTACAGTGACATTCCATATCACAGGCTTCTGGCAACTTGCAATGAAGGTTTCTAAGGATTGAACTGCTCTCCTTTGACTATCCCTCCACACAGCATTAGTAGACCTGCTTCCCTCTCTCCTAACATCTGTCCACTGCCAGCTCATGCTTTCACTTTGCCCATTTAGCTCACTTAGTCAAACAGATCCTCAGAGAATGGGCACAGACTCTACGGCCCTTTGTGAGATAAGTGGGAAGATAAATGGTGAAGTGAGGATGTTGCACCATGCTAACCCCAAAATATGAGGGACAGGGTGAAAAAATATGACTGGGTGAGAGAGGATCAGGTAAAGGCAAAATGCCTTATTTTTTTGTAGCAGTCATGTCCTGCACAAGGGCCTGTCCTGCTGAAGGAGAATGGGGCAGGAACTGAAAACCTAAAGCCCTTATTTATGTGGGGACTGAGTCTGCAGAGTTTGAGGTTAGAGTTAGAGCAGGGTCTGACATTTCCCACTACACTGAAAGGTAATATACAATAGGGGGCCAGGAAAGGCATCTCCTGTACCACTTAACTTCATAAACAGCCAGTTTGGTGGCATAAGCCTCCAATTCCAGCAACTTAGAAGGCTAAGGCAGGGATCCCAAATTCCAGGTTTGCCTGGGCTACAGAGTAAGTGCGCGATCAGCTTGGGCAATTTAGTGATAAAAAAGGAAAAAGAGACTGGAGAGATGGCTCAGCAGTTAAGAACACTGGCTGTTCTTGCAGAAGATCCAGGTTCGAATCCCAGCACCCACATGGCAGCTAACAACTGTCCGTAACTCCAGTCCCAGGGGATCCAACAGCCCCTTCTGACCTCCACAGGCACTGCACGACACAGGTGTACTTATCTACATGCAGGAAATACATGCATACACATAAAATAAAAATAATAAATAAAATTTAAAAAAAAAAGGAAAAAGAGGGACAGGGAGATAGCTCAGTGGTAGAGCATTTGCCTAGCACACATAAGGTTGTAGGTTTAATCCTCACCACTGGAAAAAAGAAAGCCACACACGTTTAAGAGCCAGTTATTTAGAAAAAATATCCCAGTTTCAAAATGACTGTGAGGTAGTTGATATTTAAGATACTAAATCATGTTTTACCACTCTGAATTCTTCAATATCTGTCCCTGGTGGAGAGAGGTAGGTAGCCTACAACTGTACTTAGTCCTACACATTTTTATAACTACAGAAGTGATGGACCAATGCAGGAAACTGAAGACGACTGAAATATTCTGGATTTTGCTTTGCAAAAAGCCTAAGCAGGTAGAAGAAATCAATTTGCAGATTTTTTTTCAGGAACAGAAAAAATATCATGGTTAAAAACAGGAGAAGCAAGAGATGTCCTTGGACTCAGGAGCGAGACAAGACAGAGGTGCAGGCAGAGTCCTCAGGATGAAAAGGAATATCAAAAGAAGCTCCGACTTCACTGGAATATAAATCCTGAGGCTTAGAGGGTCTGCCTCAGCCATTAAATGACTGTGTCAGGATGACTGTATCAGAGCCATGGTTCTTGCCTATTACCTGTCAGGCACCCACATGGGTCATTTTCACACCTAGTGTGTCTTGTAGTCTTCACAACAGCACTGCAAGGTCAGTGTTGTTATCACATTGTATAAGTGAAACATCATGGCTCAAGGACATAGCTGGGAAGTACAGGGGCCAGACATGCAAAACCAGGTCTGTTTTCCTCCCTACATGATATAATACCTGCTGGTATCAGAGGCAGGTACCTAAACTCAGAGACAAAGGAAATATGTTGGATTCTCAGATTTGATTTTATTTGGAGAGTTCTTCTCCATTATAGTTCTGGGTCTGTCTCATGGCTGCAAGCAGTGTATGTAAATAATACTGATCCCTGGGGAAAATTCCAGGCAAAGAAATGAAGAAAATGTGACAGAAATCTGTCACCAAAAACCAGAGAATCTTATTCAGTCAGTACTCCCATCCCTAAACCAGACTCCAGAGGTCTCTTCAAGGATGTCAGTATTGAAGGTATTCCACAGTCTGTGGTAAGTTTGGGTTAAAAATAAAAACCTATGGACATATAGGTAGTTTGACCAGCCTATATAATTTCTGTTCATCCAATTCATTCAGACATTACTATCAGATCTAATCATCCCCCATGCCTGTTTGTAGGACACTAAACCCAAAAGGCATGCTTACTTCTCCTGCTCCCCACGTAAATACACAAGCAATGAATTTCAAAACCCCCACCCAAAACAGACATGCCAGCGTTTATTTTAAAAAGCGATGCAATTTTACAAAGACTCTGGCCCTGATTTCAGCATTTATATTCAAGGCTTTGGATAGGCCATGTGCACCAGTTCACAGGGCCAGGTTACCTGGTTAGGATCAGAACCAACTTCATCCCAGTTGTGAGTGATGTGGCCTCGGTCAATGGACTCAAAGGGCTTATGAGAAACTGAAGGTAGAATCCTGTATAGCCAGCTAGGGGAAGACAAGAACACATAGTCTTAGGTAATGCTCTGAGGGATATCAGACTGCCTCCAGAGGTGCTACCAAGAAGACATTCAAATCAACCAAGATCTGTGCGCTTTGATGTGTGAAGCAACGACATATCACTTCACAATACCATTTGCTGTCTGTGACTCTGGCTTCTTCTCTCTTTCTATGATTCCTATCACTGTTCAGATTGAGGCTCTGGCTTCTGGCTATTCACCTACTGCCCAAAAATGAAGGATTATCTTTCCCAACAACAGTAAGGGAAAAGAAATGCTGTGAGGAATATCTGTACAGGGAAATCTGACAGCTCATTGCATCATAGGATGCTAATCCTTGCTCCCCATGGTCAGGACAATGAATCCTAGATGGATTGAGAGAATATGGGGGAATTTCTTTGTTATTTTTGAAATATAAATCAATTTTACACCTTAAAATTATAGAGTGATGCATGATAATGGTAGAAATAATTCTAGAAATTCAAAACATCTTGGAAGGTGAACAGTTCCTTCTCCACTTTGTTTCATGGCTATTCCTTAGAGGCACAGAGCTTAACAACTGTTGTATATGTCCTCCTAGATAGCTCCACTGCATATGTGAGCAAAACTGGCAAATTGTTGACCCACTGTCGTCTCATACTAATAATGCAGGAGAGTACTTTATCCCCACATCGTCCCTAATCTGAGATATTATTAATAATTTGACTTTTTAACAATGCTTTGATTTATTTTTTTTTCCAGATTATTTTGTGTGAGTATAGAGCACACGCATGTGATACATAGGCATGTGTATATGTACAAAGGTGCACATGCCTGTGTACATGCAGAGGCCAGAGTAGAACATTGGTGCCCTGTTTGATTACTCTTTTTTCATTTCCTTGAGACAGGCTTTCTCACTGAACCCGGAGCCAGGCTGGCAGCCAGGAAACCCCAGCGATCCTCCTGTCTCTGTATCCCACAGCTCTAGGGTTACGGGTGCATGCAACTGTGCTGGCTTTTTATGTAGACACTGAAGATTTGGACACAGATCCTGTGCTTGCTCAGCAAATACTTTTATTCCCTGAGCCATCTCTCTAGCCCCAATAATTTTATTCTTACAGGAGAAAAATAGTATCTCATTTTAAAACTTTTCCTTCATTTTGAATAAGGTTGAATAAGATTTGTTTATTTATTAGCCCTTTGTAATTTTTCTATGAATTACCTGTGTAGTCCCATATTGATTTCAACTGGGTTTTATTTTGTCTTTTTGACCTTAATTGTAAACATTTTTGGAATTTAACACTTCTCTATTCAAAAATTAAAAATTATAAAAACATGTGTCCATATTTTATTGTAGTATTTTTATAGGTTTTTTTGTTTTTGTTTTTGTTTTTGTTTTTTGCTAAGTTTTACTGTCTATGCATGTCAAAGCCTGAGTAAAAGGTCTCTGCCTGGACCAGATCTCAGACTTCAGGGGGGGAAGAAGAGTCTGTTGAAAGAATCTTGACCTTGAGAGGGACACTACTGGGTCCTACTAAGAGGGACTCAAGTCTTTCCAGAGGCTGACAGGGTACAGGAGGAAGAAGCATCCTCCTCTGACAATAGAAGTCCACAAGTGCTTTAACAGGCTCTGAAACAAAGCTCAAGGAAAGTTCACACCAGGGGTGAGGGGCCTGGTCTGACTTCGAGCCATCTGGGGAATGAATGGGATAGCTTTGTTCCAGTTCCATCTGATTCTTCCAGCTCTTGCTGCCACGACTTTAGATCTCACACTTACTAAGCTTTTCCAACCCCCAGGAGTCTAAGGGGTTAAACATGGATATATGACTTGGTACCAGCTGTGGGGTTCCTGACAAGTTATTCAACTTCCTGGGTCCTAAGCTTTTCATCTTTATTCCCTGGGACTGTGGTGAGATCTGTGAGTTCCTCTACCTACTTACTTATTGCACAATTATTGAATTGTCCTCCCTTAATCATCTGGGATTTTATCACTGTCTAATCATTCCACATTCTCTGTCTCATCTTCCACCTTCCTAAGACCCAAGGAATCTGTTAACTAATCTAACAAAATTAACCCCTGAGATGTAGATGGAACCTCTAATAATTTGGAGGTTCCTAGCACTCTATGGATAAGTGAGTGGTTATTAGCTGAGAATTTCAGGCTCGTTCACCTATAAATGAGGCTGGGCCTACCTTCCTCCTGAGGATTTTGAGAATTCTCATAAAAGTGCTGTAGATACCTTTAGAGAGTTCTAAACAGATGGGCGAGCCATGTCTAGTGTCCCTTATTTTTCAGCCGAGTATATAAAACTCCCAAGGCAGCACTACATTGCCCTGGACAGAGATTTAATTCTGATTCGGGGAATGCTGCCAGCTTCTTAATGAAATGCCAACAGCTCCTTTTCAGCCTCCTGGAACAGAGCTTAGCTCCTGCTGACTGGAGATACTATTGAATAATGGGGGCAGGCAGCAGAATCCAGAGAACAGGTGGCTTGTATGTGGATGGACCATAAAGTCAAGAGCATAGTCACAAAGGCCAGGTTATCAGAAATTAGAAGAGACAGGAATTGTTCATGGCTCCCCTTGCCTTATCAAGAGGAAGGGATCATTAAATAGTAATAGATTAACCTCTGATCATTTGTTTTTGTCTGCTTGGTTGGTTTTGGTTTTTTGAGACAGGGTCCTGGTATGTAGCCCAGGTTGGCCTCAAATTTTTGATTCTCCTGCCTCAGCCATCCAAGTATTGGGATTAAAGGCATGAACTACAACGCCTGGCTTAACCTTCGATTTTTGACATGTATAATAAATACTGTCTTTTCCTCCATCCCTTGTACAATTAGATATTAGTTATTTAAAGCACAACACTTATTTGCCTCCTGGATCCCCAGTATCTGCATCCAACCCACTCCACAGAACCTAATCAAGGGAGCAAGTTCCCTGACCTGGCTTGAGAGATCAGAGTGAGCATAGAACATGACAAACCATGCTAATGAATGTGCTGTGGTTTCCAGGAAAGAAATTTCAAAGAGTAAAAAACCTTATTAATTCAAATCATAAGGGATTATAATATATGACCTTTCAACTACTTCAGCTTGGATTATCTATTTTTGTGCAAAGAACATGCTTCTAGTCAGCTGAGGAAGATACTGTCCAAATTTTTTTGTAACTTGATCATTATATACCCAAACAAAAAACAAACAAAATAACCAAAACCCCCAACCAAACCTCAATTGTGCAATCCTCATAGAAAAGTCAGCTGGTGAAGAACATTACACTTGGAGTTGTGGTGAGAGTTTATGATGTAACTGGCCTTGTGTGCTTTCCAGATTCTATACAGTTCTCTTCCCTTGCTTTTTCCCCCAATCACTTGCTAGGAACAAACACAGTTGTCCCTGATGTGACCCCAGAACACAGGAGAATCTTGGGCAGCCCTGGGAGACCATGGCTGGGGTATAGTTTCCACAGACTGTAAATCAGAATGATTGTAATCCTTGTACCTTCTCTTATTGGTGCTCCGTGGACAAGTGAAGGCTGATCCCGAGAGCTGCTCAGCATAGAGATTGTAGGGGCAGACCTGAGGATTATTCTACAACAAAGGAGGCAACAAACAGCATTATTCCAGTACCCAAAGCATCCCACTTTCCCACTAACCAACTCCATGGGGAATCCTGGCCTGAATGGGGAGGCTCTGGGCCATTGGAGGTGACTGTCTCCAACCCATATCTACTTCTTACAATAACTTTGTGATTTCCCCCCAATTATGAAAGTAATAAATGTTTGTTGTAGAAAATTCATAAAATACATCATGATCCATGATCTAACCAACCAATATTAATGTTAGCATATTTCTTTCCATTCTTATCCTTTAAAATGGGGAGCCTATGATACATATAATTTTATAATAACAGAATTTTTCATTGTAAAAGGAAAGACTATATCATACGAATTTATTTTATTTTGTTTTGTTTTATTTTACCTTGTTTTTGAGACAGGGTTTCACTATATAGCCCAGCCCAGCACACCCTCAAACTCCTGATCCTCCTGCCTCACAGCCACATGGAGTGCTGGGATAGCTAGGGTGTGCCACTATGCCCAGTCATTATACCCACGGTATTTTTTTGTAAATGTGAAATAGCTTCCAAAAAGTCTTGAAAAATTTTTTGTTTGTTGTGCTGTAGTTTTGCTGTTATAGCCAACACTGTTGTGAACATCTATGTGTATACTTTTCTAAAGAAACATATTTTCTCATTATTGTCATATCTGATGTAGTTCAAAGGGACTCCCAGGAAGTCCCCTGGCCCTGGACTTCAGGGTTCATCCAGGAAGCCCTATAGTTAATCTCACTAATTTGGGTTGACACCTTTGCCATAGGTAGTCATCCATTTTAATCCATTTTTAATCGTTTTAATTGCTGTTAAACTAGATAGTTCACATGCTAGTTTAGAAGAGCCTTATTGGGTGGAGTCACTGGGCCTGAGGGCTAGTCATCCAAGCTGCAGAACTCTCCACGAATTCCTTTCACTCTTACCTGTCCTTCTGGCAGGGAGCCAGGACAGCGGGGGTCCTCTGAAGCGCACTCATTCCCAAATCCAGAAATGTACTGCAAAACAGAGTTCACCATTAATGGCATTTATTTAGTTATCTGTGCATGTGCGTGCGTGCGTGCGTGCGTGTACTTGTGTGCATGTGGCAGACCAAGGTTGATACTCGGTGTCTTCCTCAGTTATTTTCCACATTATATGCTGAGGCAGAGTCTCTTGCTGAACTCTAAGCTCACTGTTTCTGATGGGGTGGTGAGCCAGTTTGCTCCAGGATTCCTTGTCTTCACACCCCCCCGCCCCGCCCCACCCCCATGTGCTGGTGCATTCTGGGAATCCAAAATCTGGTCATCATGATTGAGCTCCAAGTGATTTATCTGCTGAGTCATATTCTCAGCCCCATTAAGGGGATTTAAAGAGCATTTCATAACATTGGCATTCTACAACAGTGAGAATATCTACAGGGACATGTGGTTGTGTATGATGCTCTGTATGTAGTATCTGCTCTCATGGCTTGTGAACATTTAGGAAACAATATGCTCAGTGCTCATTTTAAAGCGTTGCAGTTAATCAGAAGATGAATGTTGGGTATGCACAGACTTTTCCACCTTTAGCCATACTTGACTAATTTTATAAGCTTGCTTTTAAGGATCCCATCCCAACAACAAGCTATTTATTTATTTGTTTGTTTATTTGGTATTTTTGAGACTAGATTGTAACCTTCCTGAGCTCCTTTATCCCTCTACATCCTAAAAACAAAACAAAACAAAAACCAAACCAATGAGACAGGCAGGCAGATAAGAAACCCAAAGTAAAAACTGGGAAGAGGTATGTGGATCTAAATTGACAACAAAATGCTTTCTAGAAGTTCCCTCTAAACCATCTGACATTGTCTGGTTTGTCTGTGGCATGTGTGTGCATGAGTGAAGGTGTGTGTGTGTCTGTCTGACTTTCTGTGTTTGCATCTGTGTGCTATATGAAAAAGAGATTTAAAGATGAGGTGTTTCCCAAGAGATATTCCAGTCTGGAATCTTTTCAGAATGACACAATGGAACCTGCTACGATTGTCATCTATTAGCTTCATAACACAGGGAAAAAGTTAAGAAGCCTCTCAACAAGGTAAATCACAGGATCCCCTGAAATGTGCCTCCCCCTACCATGGCAAAGACTGCTTTATTGGTGGTAATTGGTAGAGTCAATAAATATTGATCCCCAAGGAAGAGCTCTGTCATTTATCAGATTACTACTGGTCTACAGAGAACCAAATAGAACTGAGCTACTGCTGCTTTGAATAAAGTCAATCCATAGCAAGCTGACACATGGCATATGGTGCTCTGCAAACTGCAAGAGCCAAGGTGGCTCTGTACAGGAGGGCACTGGCTACCCTAACCTTCAGATAGTGAATGCCCACTATCCTGAGAGAGCTTTCCCCTCTCTCTAGAATTTATTTTCAAAATACCTACATGAATGATGCTTATGGTCCTCTGGACAATTTGAGGAAGAACAGCAGATTCTGGAGCATTTTGGCTCAGTTATTATTCACTAATTGTGATGCAAGATTTACTCTTATAATGCTTAGAATTCCAGACTTTAGTTGTAGGTCTGTGTAGGAAACCAGGATGCCAGGCCCTAGGGTGAGGTGAGCCTAAAACTTATAGGTCCAGGCTGCATTCTCTGCTAAAGGGAGGGGCACTGAAAACAGTGGCTCTGATAATCCCTGTCCTGCAGAACACTGCTATACTAGCAGGAGGAAGTGGCCTGGTCATAAAAGTGCAGGCTCCCAGCTCTGTGGGAAAGCATCTTGGTCAACACCTTAGCTCATCTCCTTGTCCTGAACAAATAACTCAGCTATCCCTGGCTAAGAGATTAGGCCAGGTTAAAGGTTTACTCCTGAACTAAAAGCTCAGCTAAAAGTTCACCATGCTTTTAGCTCTAAGAAAGAAAACATTGTGGCCAATAAATTACTGGATGGGCATTGATAACCTTGAGTAAAAGTTTAAGAACCCTTCTGGTGCCAACTAACAGACTAAATATCCTGTTTCTTTGTACCCTAAATCTTTGTATGTGACTGCCATATCCCACGTGACTGCTAGTTCCTTGGGATGTATAAAAACCACCTGAATTCTAAAATAAATCGTCCTCTTGGGAAGACACAGGTCCCAGAGTTTATGACTCTGTCATCGATCAGACCCTCTGCCCCGAAACCAGTAGGTCCCCTGCTAAGCAAAGCAAACCTGAGTCCCGACAGGCCTGTCATCATTTGACTTCTTTGCTTTTCTGTTTCCTGAAGGTTGGTACTATGCCTTATTTACATCTGTGTACCTTATGTCTTGGCCCAGCGAAGGTACTCAATAGACACTCTGTTGAGTGTCTCTCACTTAAGAGTCAGTTCTAAGTGCATGCTTGCTGTGGTGAGTGGGGTTTGAAACCCCTTTGTTCTAACTTAAACATCAATTGCTTTTAGTCTGGGATAAGGAGAGTGCAATCTTACTGGGTGAGTGAAATATCACCATATGAATACAGTTCTTTAAGAGATATAAGAAAGATGATTGTGGGTGGAGGATAGGCCCTCCAGAGTTCTTGGCAACACAGAGAGCTAGCTATAACACGCTGGGATGTGTGAGCGATGATCAGGCCAGTACTGCCTATATTTGGAAGGAATATGAAATGTGAAATGTTATGACCTAGAAAGCAATGGAAGTGAAATTATTCATTTGCCTTCAGACACCAGCTGTTTGGGGGAAGGAGGGTGTTGCTGGTGATGGAACCTGGGGCCTCATACATGCTAAGCATGTGGTCTGCCACTGAGCTGCACCTTCAAGCCCCCAGGTTTTTTTTTTTTTTAATCTATTTGAAAATGTTATCAACCCCTTGTCACTATACATACCAAGTTCTATTATAATCAGATTTGTTTGAAGCAGCAGCAGCGTGCAGTTTGGAATTATAGCTTTGGGGAAACAACAGAGACCATCTACTCATTTGAACCTCTACAGAATACCATTTTCTTCTCTCAAAAGGAACTGTGTGCTCACCATCAACAGGACAGAATTTGAGCTGCTGAGAATCACTAATGACCTCAAATTATCTTCAATTCTGGAAACAGAATTGAAGTTCAGGCTGTGACTGAGGCCACTGAGGACGTCAGAGCCTTCCCTTTGTTCAGCCGCATTGCATTGTTCCCATCAGCAAGGAGGAAGGAAGGCCTGAGAGCTGCTCAGGCAGCTGAGCCTTCTGGCAAGCAGGGGTGGATTAACTGATCAACATTCCTTATTCTTTGCAACTGCTGGCCTCAGAACAGAGATTATATGTGTATTCTGAACAAGGAAAAAGAGACTTAATGATTCTAAAGCATTTGATTCAGGCTATGCCCTAAAAAATATAAAGGAAAAGGAAAAGAAACAGAACAGCTGGTGATTTGGAAGGAAGCCACCTGAGCTCAGAGAGATAGAGAGATGAATTTTGAATCTTTCTCCATCTTAGCACAATGCATTGGCTCAAGAGGAGGGCAGAAACTGCTGAGTCACCATCAACTCCAACAGCTCCCTAATCCTCTGGGAGCAAAATTACAGATGAGTTTATTAGAGCTTTAAGATGCTGTGTCCCTCTTTGCTGAAAGCATTGGCCATGGAGGAAGCTGTGTTTTGTAGCTGCTTTTTCAAGGTTTTGAGCCCAAGGACAGAATGTGAACTCTGTAACAGCTGTGCAAACCAAGTGTTCAACTCCAGCTGGTTCAGTGATTATGTGAAGACACCCGTTGTACAAAAATGAAATGAAAACCTGACATTAAGCAAATGTGTTTATGTTTTCTTCAGCTCAGATTTCTGAATAATTTAGTCCTTTATCAAAATATGATCTTCTTTCTTTCCAAGTGAATTTGATATGCACACTTTTAAAATGAGAAAATGAATTTCTGAGGGCCACATTACCTTGGCCAGTCCACTAGTATATAACTCTTTAATTCTCACTTGGCCTCCAGGGTATGATTTACTTGTCAGAGGAGTTTTATGAAGTACTCTCTCCTGAGTCAGATTCGGGGTAATACCTGATGGTGTACCTTACTTTCTTTGACTGGACACTAAAGAAAGAGAAAGATGCCAAGGGAGAGATAGCTCCATGGCTCCTTTTTTCCTGAAAATGGCTCCAGTGCTAGTTAACCTTAATAGAAACATAGAATATAGATTGTTAGGAAAACGTGCAGATTACTATAGTTGACTGAATAATGGTCCTGGGTGATCTCTAATCCCTGAAACTGTTGGGAGCAGGCAAGAAGTTAGGGTACTGGGAAAAGAGGCAGACTTTCAAAGAGACAGCACAGAACTTTGAAATGCCAAACTTTTGGCACACAATCTTCAGACTGCTTGTTACTGCTGAGTTAAAAAAGAACCAGAAGTTACTTGTGGTAGCACACACTGGTGACCCCAGTACTTAGGAGGTGGATAAGAAGAAATTTCAAGACAGCCTAATGTAGAAATGGTGACGTGGCTATTAATGGTGAATATTATATAGATTTACAGTGAAAAAGAGCAAATGGGGAAGAAAGAAATACAGAATGTACAGGATGGATTGAAAAAGAGCACTAGGAAGATTAATGTTGGAGCCCTGGCATGTGATGGAGAGGATCCCATTGATAAGATTAAAGTGCTTAAGGAGGGGCCTAGAGAGTCAAACTTAAATAACGGAGAGAGTGCCTCTGGGCTACTTCTCTTTCAAAGAAACAAAAGGCAAGACAAAGTAAAATAAAACAAACAGAAAAAAGAACCCAAGGGCAGTTTGGGGCTTTTAAGGAACTGTTGGGTTCATGAAACAATGCAAAGCTTTAAAGTGGCCACAAAGCTGAAGGTAAGTTAGTGACCAAAGCTTACAAAAGCTGCAAGGTAAACACATCGTAATAAATGTGATTAGCCACTCTTATTTGATATACCCTCACAAAGAACAGCCTTTGACTACAAAGTTCAAACCAATGGAAACAGAAGGCAGTGAGCCTTCTCTCCTCTATTGCAGAGGAGGCTCACATCAACATGGGCAAAATGCAGCTTCCATGTTCAACTCAAAGGGATAAAGATGGGAGATGGCCAGGTCTTTGTTCCTGTTTCTGTCACGCTTTGTTCTTCTCATAAGGTGTATTTGCTTCTGAACTTTCATTTCCTGGGTCTCTGTTCTTTACCTGGGAAGATATTCTAAGGGATGTTTCTGACCTTAGGCTGCCTCTGTTAAGCCCTCCTCCTTAGGCCCTCCTCTGTGCCCCTGGACCCCTGCCCTTTAGGACTAATGGCTCTTTTCGCTTCTGTAAATTGCTTGGCTTAGAAGAACTAAAGGGACAAACTGCACCGACTCCATTCTGGCTGGCCCCTCCATTTTGCGATGTCCCAGGCTGTTACAAGGTACTAGCAAGGGCTGTGGTTATAGATTAGACAAGCCCGGGCATGTGAAGGGGGCCCAGGCAGGTTTGAGGCCTTACAAGGAATAAACAGGGTCCTCTAGCCCTGGAGATAACAGTCAGGACATTCCACAGCCCTGAGGGCAGCACCCACCAATGAGAAGCCCCCAAGACTGTAACCAATCAATTCAAAAGTATGTTGGTACGAGGCAGGCTCTTTGGACCAATCAAAATATAACTCTGTCATTCCCTTCCTCCCTTTGTCTGAAACCTATAAAAAGCTCCCTCCCCTTGCAATCAAGGCTCTCAGACAGACTCACTTCGTTAGTTTGGTCTGAGAGTCCAAGCTTAAGCAGGAATAAAGACTCTTTGTTCTTGCATGCTCTCTGGACTCCGTGGTAATTCTTGGGGATCCGTTCTCTGGGCACAACACCTCAAACAAGGACTGAGGTCATTTTCCAGTTCTTCAGCAGCAGAACTTGGAAATGTTATACATTCTACTTTAGCAGATGTGATCAAATAAAAGATTTTGGGATGGGGAGGTTCCTGATATTTGAGTGTACCCTAAATGTAATACAAGTGTCCTTCTACAGAGGTAGAAGGCAATTTGACTGAAAAAGAGGAAAGGTGATGACAGAAGCAGAGATCTGAATGATAGCTTCAAAGACAAAGGAGAGGCTACAAACTGGGCCACACCTTTAATCCCAGCACTCTGGAGGCAGGGCCAGGCGAGTCAACATAGCGAGCTCTAGGACAACAGAGGCTACAGGGAGACCCTGTCTCAAGAACAAAAATAAAAACAAAAATCAAAAAATAAAACCAAAGGACGGGCTATAAACCAAGGAATGTAGACTCTCTAGATGATCAAGAAGCCAGAGAAGCATCTTTCTGTAGAGCCTCCAGACAGAATCAACTATGCTGACACTTGAACTTCAGGCCAGTAAAACTGATTTCATGCATCCATTCTCCAAATATATAAGAGAATAGATCTGTGTTGTTTCAAGTCAATAAATTTGTGGTAATCTGGTATAGCAGCAACAGGAAATGATACGTCTCTCTCACTAATCATTAGAATCTTTTCAGACCCAAAGCTAATAAGTCAGTGTCCAGTTGTGGGGCCCAGAGTCTGCATGTGAAACCAACTTTTCATTTTAGAAGCAGAGAACTGAAGAATTGAAGTGACATCCTCAAGAATGTGGGAATGGAATCCACTTGAAACTTTATCTTTCTACTTTATCTTTTGAATTTTCTTCTTCTAGTTAAGTGCTTTATATAAGCAAATGAAATTTCATCTGAGGTTTTATGTTGACATATCCATTAAAATGATGGAGGGAAACATGAGAAATAGCCTTTATAAAGTTAGTAATGTTTATTGATTAGAATGCATATGATTCAATCTGGCTCTCTGTGTTTAGATTTCTGACTTCTAGAGATAACCTTTCCTACTGGAGATTATATGGCAGGCTGGGCATGCCTTTGAAACTGAGAACAAAGGCCAGCATGCAATTTACATTTGGTAGTGTTGTGCATAATAAGTTGCTCAAATATTGCAGCAGGACAGGATTTTAGATATGATTTATTTATAAATGGCAAGGATATTTCCAATCCTTGCTGATTTTACTCATGGGATTTTCACTAGAAAACAAAGTTTTAAAATATATTCTCTTTCCAAAACTTCAACTGCCATCACTGACTTAATGATCCCTGTATCTAGTCCCTTGACTCTGCCCACTCTCCTGAGATTCAGATCCATACATCAAACCCTCTCTTGGGTTCCTTCATCTGGCATCAATGTAGTGACTCCAATTTAGCTGAAACACCAGGTTTCTAGGATACAGGGAGCTTTCTGCATATTTTGCATCTTTGCACATGGTGTTTCCTCTGGCCCCATTCTTTGTCACTTTGCCTAGGAACAGCTTCCTTTAAGAAGTTTCTCTTGACTCTACCTAGCTCAGACTCAGTTCTTCTGCTGTATTAATCTGCTCTATCACATGTTAATACATGGTATTTATTGAAAAAATGACAGCTGTCAGGAATGCATAAAGGAACAAGCGCTTTACTATGGTGCTAAGTCTATTAGGATGTCTATTAATTAGGCGGCTGTTTGATTTTTCCAGCTATGCATTGATTGAAAGGCTTTAGGGCATTGTTCAATAAATGTATTCAGGAAAAAGGCCTTGGGAGTCTGTTCTACCCAGCTTGGGCAAAGATTCCAGGCAGTTCTATGCAGTTCTGGTTGCTTGTGGTCAGCAGTAATACAAGGAGAAATTGAGCACCAGGAACAGTTTTAGTCAACAGGAACACACTCTTTTCCCTGGCCTAAAGGCACCAGTCAGGTAGGAGCCATCAAACCTCCTTTTAGAGCCTGAAATTTGAACTCAGACAAACCCAAGCTCTAATGCAATCTCCATCATCTATTAGCAGTGACCTCAGGTGAGTAATTTACTGCCTATGACCCTTACTTTCCTTACAGGTTTAAAACAGAAACAAGAGCACTTACATTTGAGGTTTATTGTGAAGATTACTAATTCATAGTTAAAATACCTAGCACATATAGCACATAACCTCACTCCTTTTCAATGGTACATTAAATAAAAATACAGCTCTTTTAGCTCTGGGGTCTTATACTGTCCAAAGCTGATTCTAAACTACAAAATAATTGACTAGGTTAGGCATATTTAATTGACTGGCCTGAAACAGTCCAGGAAGCTATAGCTACACCAATGTCAGAGAGCCATGGGGACAGAGACAGACATAGCGAGAAATGTGTGTCAGTGTGGAGAAGGAGCTCTTAGGGTGTCCACAGATCCCCAAGACAATATTTGAAAAGAATAAAGGCAAGAGATGGACATTATCTCCTTTTTCTATTATCTCTTCCTTGTCCCCTCAGCCCAGTCACGGTACTAGGACATAGCATCTAACACAGGAGTTTGGGTCAGCCTCCCCTCAAGTCTCTGACACCAGAAACTTCCATAAAGTCTGGCTGAAGAAGCCAAATGTCTCTCCAGCTCTTACTCTGAGTCTCTTTTCCTTTCTTTTTCTGGTGCTGGAGATAGAACCTAGGGCTCCACACATGGTAAACACATACTTTATCACTAAGCTACATCCTCAGCCCGACGGTTTTAAACCAAGCCCCAGTCAAATGGTTCTTACCTTCAATTCCGCCATTTTCCTTCTGCTGTACGGAAACCCAGACCAGGGAAATGGTGAGGCCCAAATGCTCCTGTTTCCCTTTAAGACAAAGCTCTGAATGTTCTTGCCCTCACCACTTCACTGTGTTTTCGTGGTCAGCAGATCACTCAGGCAGCCAGCATTGCCTAACTGACAGAAAGGGCAGAAAGTCCAGACTGCCTAAATAAACCTAAATCTAAAATTCTTGCACAACCTTTTCTTGTTTTTTTTTTTTTTTTGTGATTATTAACCCCAGGGTGTTTCTAAGAGTTTGCAGAGGTCAGATTCCTTTTCACCAGAACCAGTTGTTTTTTCTCCCCCCTTTGTTGAATAACCTGGAAATGTGAGCTGAAATGGCTTCTCTTACCTCTTTACTCTTCTGGCCTATAACTTAATTTGGGACCTCTCAGAATGGAGAGAAGGAAGGAGAGAGGAGAGTGAAGGAAGAAAACCACTATTGTAGTGCCAAAATTGCTGAGATTCTTTCCTAACCATGTGTATATGTCCCTTTGCATGTGTTTTTCTGCTCCTTCTATCAAGAGTCTTTAGTAGGGTATGATGGTTCATGCCTGTAATCTCGGCACTTAGGAGGCTAAGGCAAAAGGACCGTGAATTCAAGGCCAATCTGGGTAACATAGTGAGACCCCCCACATACATATATGTGTGTGTGTGTGTGTGTGTGTGTGTGTGTAAATAAAATGCAAAAGTCTTTTTCTTCTTTGAATCTTAGAAACATGACATTGCAAAATATAACACAGTGGCTTGAAGAATTGGCTATAGATACTTGTGTATTGCCTGCAGTCTCAGACTAACATGGAAAGAAGCAAGACTAGCCTCCAGAGGCTAGGCAACAACCCCACAAGCCCCATGCTAACACATGCTAACACACACATGTGAATGAGGCAATCTGGCTGCCAGATGACTGCAGACATAGGAGTGATCCCAAGTGAGACCAGAAATGTCATTAGCTAAACCCGGCCCAGTTTGTTGACGAGAAGTCTCATGAGCAAATAGAATGCACAATTTTACACTAGTAACTTTTGGGGTGGTTTGTTAAGTAGTGATAATTTAACCACATAGTTAAAAACCATGTGTTCAGGTCTGAAATGGCTATAGGCTGCCAACTTGAGACCACATCTTTAGACAAAATGGATGTAAGCAAACGTCAGAGTTCTGGGGTCACAGCACACTGTAGCAGCAATGGAATGATTTGATGTGTGAGGTATTCCACATGGAGGGCCAGCCCAAAGGAGCATGTTTATAGAGACAAGTGATGTTGGTGAGGTGACAACCTTGTGGATGGATGTTTGGAAGGCAGCTTGCAGGGCATCTCAGCATGTTAGCGTGGACAGATGACATGTGGCTAAACAAACTATAGAATTTGTATGCAGACTTGGGAGTAGTGAGACCCCCGTATTAGTGAGGCTGACTATTCATGCAGTATGCAGACTCAAAGTAGAAAGTAAATCCAAGGAAGGCATCTCTTGCATATCTGAGTTTATGAGTATCTAGGATCTTAATTATATACTGATCTTGGAAGTTAGTTTTTGATGGTTGCAAAAAAGAAATACACAGGAGCCAATAAAAGACAATGGAAAAGCTTTACTGCTTTACTTTTCCACAAACTATGCCCTTTCTTTTCCTTCCTCCCCTCCCCTCCCTCCCTCCCTCCCTCCCTCCCTTCTTTCCTTCCTTCCTTCCTTCCTTCCTTCCTTCCTTCCTTCCTTCCTTCCTTCCCATGCACACTTCCTTCCTTCCTTCCTTCCTTCCATTTTTGGTCTTTTTTGAGACAGGGTCTCCTTGTAGCCACAGATGGCCTGGATTCACCATGGAGACCAGGCAAACTATGCTCTTTCTACGGAATCAGCTTTGAAGGCAGATTTAAGAAGTGCTTCAGTTCTTTCCTAAGGTGTGAGTCTTCTGAAAGAGAAAGTGTTGACAGAGTCTTGACTGGATGAAAATGACTTTGAGAGCCTTGGGGGGGAAATATATATTTCCTTTTCTTTTTCTTTTTCTTGAGACAGGGTCTCCCTGTAGCCCCAGCTGACCTGGAACTTGCTATGTAGATCAGGCTAGTTGATTTCACAGAGATCTACCTGCTTCTGCCTCCCAAAAGCTGGGATTAAAGGTGAATGCCATCAGGCCTGGCAATAGTTAAATGTGAATTAACCTATTACTACACTTTAGGAATTCCTCCTATGTGGGTTAACTTTATTTTCTGCTTTTTTCTGTTTTGTAACAATAATTCAATAAATCAAGTGTTTGCTTTGCAAGTACTGTGCTATATGCCAGATACTGTGCTATAAATATATGGAGAATAACAGGAAAGTAAATAAAACCCAGGTACAGGTAGCCCTGATTCTCTAATGGCTTTCCATTTTAATTAATGTAATCACACCCACTCATTCATCTTCTTGAGGGACCATTACAACAGTGGTGATAAATGCTATGATAGTGACTACCAGACCAGGGTATTCCTGGAGAGATCAGACAGCCACTCCAGGGATTAGACAGGGCACCAAGCCCAGACTAGTAGGGTGAGGGGAAGGCCTCCCAGTGAAGATGTCTGAGCTGTGTGACAGAGCAAGAGTTAGATAGAAAGGGCTTGAGCAGAGGGAAGTGTATGTGCAAAGATGGAAAAGTCAAAGTGCAGTGCAGTGTTTAGGGAAGTGCAACTGAAACTGGGGGGTGTTCTTAAAGGGGAGCATTTCAGGAACGGGACTATTGGGGCACATTTAAAGCAGGAGAGACAGACATGACCTTGTTAGGTGAACCACATTTAAAAACACACCCAGTGGAAGGGTCAGTCAAAGACATACAAGACCAGAGCAGAGTAACACTATTAAATCAGTGAGCAATAAAAACAAAGCTGGTAAAATCCAGACAGAGGAGGGAATGTGATAAACCAATACTGGGAATGTGTGAAGCAGTGTAAGGACAAGCAGCAGGACTCAGAAACCGCAGCTGTCTGCTTCCTTCAGATACTAGCACAAGATAGGAACTTGACTGCAGAAGCTCCTGAGAAAAAGTCCCAATTTTCAGACACCAGCAAGAGGGGGACAGGACCAAACGAAGTGCCATAATGGTGATGGTCCAGCTTACTAAGTGTTGTGATGCATGGTTGTGGTCCCAGATCCTGAGAGAGGCTGAGGCACGAGGTTTACTTGAGCCCAGGCAACTGAGGTCAGCCTGGGCAACACAGTGTGTGTGACCCCTGACTCAGAAACAAACAAACCCCAAACTCCCTTTTCCACATTGAGCTTCCAGAATCTTATCAGCAAGGATTCTACTCTCCAGATCAAGCCTGGAAGATTGAGATAAACATTTTCTGGAAATGCAATAATTCTCTGTATGTGTGTGTGTGTGGGGGGGGGGTGCATGCCATAGTGCATATATGGAATCAGAGGGCAACTTGTGGGATCAGCTCTCTTCTTCTACCATCTGGGTACTGAGGATCAAACTCAGGCTTGGCAGCAAGTGCCTTTACCTGCTGAATCATCTTGCCAGTCCTGGAAATGCTTTTTAAAATGAACTGAATCTCTCTCCCCTTTAATTTGTATATTTATGAATAATTCTTTTATCTAAAACATAGCAGGATTCAGTATCATTTCATCTTTTTTGGGGGGTGGGTTTACATACATGGTGAGAAAATTTGTTCACGTAAAGATATAATATGATTTTGTTAGTTTTAAAAAAATATTTTATCATTTTTATTTTATGTGTATGAGTGTATTGCCTGCATGTAAGTACACCTGTGTCCACCAATACCCATGGAGGTCAGAAGAGCATGTGAGATTCTCCTGGAACTGGAATTACAGGTGGTTGTTAGCTGCCATGTGGGTGCTGGGAATTGAACCTGGGTCATCTCACCCCAAGATTTTGTTATTTTTCACTGGCTTCTGAATCCAACAGAAAAAAAAAAAACCCACATATAATTTATCATTAAATATTATTTTTAATGATCTATAAGTCAACACCTCAGTTAGGTCCTTCTTTAATTGTGTTGAAAGCAAGTAATTAGAAGCCTGATTGAAAAAGGCTTCATCACCCAGCTACTGGAATAATTTACTCTAATGAAATATTACACTTTGTCTCATTTAATTCAGAAAGGGTTGTAGAAATGAAAATGTAAATTTTATATATTGCTGCCTCTAAAACCATTATTTACACTTTCTTCTATACTTTGGGAGAAGACCTGACAAAGACAAAGCCTTGGCTATTTCTTTAAAAAAAAGCTTATTAGCATATGTTATATATAATAGTGGGTTCATATATGTGCATAGTGCTTTCCCATCATATCCCCCTCTTCCACCGCCTCTTCCTAAGCAGTCTCCCTTCTACTTTCACGCCTTGTTTTTTGTGACCCAGTATCATTAGGACCATGCAGGACAGTCTATTTATAGGAGCAGGACCCTTTTACCAGTGACTACACTACTGAAGAAAATGCCTCCCCCCCCCGCAGACCCCGGTCAACCATTAACTGTATATAAATTCTGGTGGGGCATGAGCTCTTACTTCCTTCATGGCAGGTTGTGGATGGGCCGGCTCTGGTGCAGGAAATCATAGCTTCGAGTTCAAGAATGCAGCAGCTAGATCATGCCTAGAAGCCAGCATTCTAGTCCCCCAATCCTTCCTCCAGCTGTCTCTGTCCCTCTTTCCATGTTCCCTGCACCTTGGAGGGGGTGTACTGACATTCTATTTATGGCTGGGCATTTCGCAGTTATTATCAGTACTTTGACCAGTTATGAGTAACCACTGCCCACTGCAAAAAGGTTTTCTGATGAAAGCTGACAGTAGCACTAATGTATGGGTATAAAGTTATTTAGAAGGCAATTTGATGGGCACATCATGTTCATTTTGCAAAACAAGAGCAGTAACTCTCACTAGGGCCTATGCCCTCTCCAGCTATGAGCTTTTGACTAGGTTTATAGTATAGGTATGAGTTCTCACCCTCCTGTGGAGTGGGCATCAAATCTAACCAGAAAGTGGTTGGTTACCCCCATAACAGACTTGTTAGTATTATACCCCTGGACTCATCTTGTCTGGCTGGTTGATAACTGTTATACACAAGGTCTGGTTGATAATTGTCACACACAACAGCTAATAAGCCTGTTGATGACAATTCTCCCCAGCAGCCGGCATAGCACCTTCATATATGGAGAGGGCTAGCCAGCAGGGAGGAAGCTTCCAGCTTGATTTCTCTGTATTGTGATCAGGGTTCCTATCAGATAGCTCTGGTGGGCAACCAACAGCAATTGGCAATTGGTTGACTATGGCTTCTTAAGGTTTTCTTTACTGTTTTCTAGAATTATACATTTAAAATATTAAAAAAAAAAACTTTTAGCTGGGCATGGTGGCACATGCCTTTAATCCCAGCACTTGGGAGGCAGAGGCAGGTGGATCTCTGTGAGTTCAAGGCAAGCCTGGTCTACATAGTGAGTTCCAGGACAGCTGGGGATACAGAGAGACCCTGTCTCAAAAAGACCAAAAAAACAAAAAAAAAAAAAACAAAAAAAACTTTTGATGATTGTTTCAGATCTTGTCTTTGGTTATTTTTGCTTTTAATTGGTATATATTAATTGCAGAAAATATGAGGTTTCAATGGGACATTTTCATATATGCACATCATGTATGTTTAAAAAATAATTGTGGAGAATGGTATATGCAAAGCCCTTAAACAAAACCAAGTCCTTTTGCTGGCATCTGGAAGACATTTACACTTTGGGGCAATATACCATAGTACTACTGTCCAGTGAGTTGTTCCTTTTCTGTAGAGGAAACAAGGTGACTGTGAATGCAGAGGTGAAAGTAATGAGCTGTGCTCATAAGCAATTCAATTCTGATAAAGATATCTGCATACTGAAGTTGATGATTTGTGCTTACAGACCTCAGGGAACCGAAGCTTGTACCCATCCCTACTTGAAGATCACCGACACTGCCTCCCACCCCAAATGGAAAGCATTACATACAGGAGTTTGGGGTAATGAGAAGCAGAGAATGACAGAACCACAAAGCTACCACTCCAGATGTCTCCAAGTAAAAGACAGTTCTGAGCAAGTCTTTAGTCTTTACATCTTGGTTAGAGTCAAGGGGCTGTGTTTTCCACCTCTACTAGTTAGCAAATTGAGAAAAAAACATTGTGCAAGAGTAAGATGTGCTAAGACACATCAAGCAAAGCACTGATAATGGGCTGTACCTGGAAGAAATTGGCATCAACAAAAACACTGGCAATATTCCAAAGACAAACAGCTTGCATTTTGCCAACAGGTGGTATAACTTCACATTTACCTTGGCATGGGAAGCTCTGAGAGGGAGAAACAGACCAGGTCACTAAGGTGAGATCACAGAGAGCTAAGCAAAACTGGATGTTGGTAATCTGTTATAGTGGTACTCATAAAATGCACTGTTTACTAACTATGTAGTCTGTACTTCTGAGTTCATTAGTCTCTGAAATGTCAGATCCTGACTGCCTGTACCAGAATCACTTAGTTTGTCTGTTAAAAATATAAAATCTGGGGGCTGGAGAGATGGCTCAGTAGTGAAGAGCACTTGCTGCTTTTTCAGAGGATTGGAGTTTGGTGCCCAGTACCCAAATGGCACAGTTCATAATCTCCTGTAACCCCAGATCCAGGGATCCAACACTCTCTTCTGGCATCTACAGACATTCACACGCACATGGCACACATATACACATAGCCACATTAAAAAAAAAAAAACAATCCTTCAAAAAGAATCTATACCTTTTTGCATACATATAAAATTAGGGGGTATGAAGGGCAAAGCAGATAAAATCCTGGAATTTGAATTTTGAGTTTGAAAGCAACTGCGTGGAGGTCTAGATTAACTGTAAATAAAGTCACATTTCTTTTTAATCCTATGGAATAGCCCTGGCAAACTCTGTCTCCACATATTATATAAGACAAACATATTCTGGAATATTTGAGGTCCAGGGCTAGGTTTCCTGGCACTTTTCCTCTCCCTTTGCAGTGATTTAGCTGTCTTTCAACTATGAAGAAATGCATTTTTAATTTCTTCTCCTTTCCCCAAAACAGTGTCCTCCTTTGAATTTTAAGATATTAAATCAATGCAGACATATTATTAGGTCATGAAATTTCATAGAACAGGATGTTACCTGTGCTTTTAAAAACTCAATTAAACCACCATCTACTAAATATCTATTCAAAGCTCTACCTGTGTTAGGTGCTATAACACACACGATTGAAATGAAGACTCAAAAACACTGATAATGGCAGCAGTTAGGAACTCTTTACCCAGTCTGATGGCCCAGTCCATCAGTTCCAGGAAGCCCATTTTCAAAATGGACAGGAAAATAATAGTTTGGGGTGCTTGGACTACATGAATGCCTCAAGTATGGGATTCTGAGACTCCAAGCTAAACCTAAAGTGGATCAACCTCTTTGGGAGAAGTTCTTCCTAGAGCATGGTAGGGAAAGACATTTCTTTTCTAATTCATGGCCAAATTCATGGTGGAGGCACAGAAAACAACAGGCAGATTAACAAGAGGAAAGCTACAACCAAGCATACACACACACAACCCCCAAAAGCTTTGGGGTGACTGTGAAATCTGGGATACTGGGTCATGATTCATGTAAATGTGTATCTATGGATAACTTGTACAAAAGTATGACTAGGAAATAGGACATGTCTAATATAAGACACATTTGTTCAGTGTCCACTTGGTATTGCTACCTTTTGTTCCAGGATAAAGAGGGTACTTCTGGAATAAAGGTTTTGTGATCAACTTCAGGGAAAGGTCAGCTAGATGTTACAGTTTGCTTTAGGGGAGGAGTAGAGTGGAGGCGTGGGTGCTGGGAACCAAATCTGGGTCCTCTGCAAGAGCAGCCAGTGCTCTTAACTGCTGAGCCATGTCTCTAGGCCCTAATTTAATTTCTAAAAAAGAAATACAAAGTTTTAGATAGCTTAGGTCTTTGTGTAGTGTTTGTTTCTGCTTCTCAATTGCACAGCTGCTGGTACAACACACTTGCACTGAATTCTACATACAGAATTCAGAAAAACATTCCTTTACAAAAAATCAGGCCCAGGCCTCCTTAGTGAGGAAGTGAAGACTGGAGAATAGTCCAGCTCATGAAAAGTATTTTTTAATTCCTAAGACTGTCTTTCTAAGATTGTTAGTATTCTTATTTTAATATTCCCTTTCATTACTCCTTGACTTCCAAAGCACTCCTCAAATTTACTTAAAATGGAAACGAAAATTTAGTAGTTTTTACTTAGTTTTAAAAAGGACTGAAAATGTATATTTATATTATTATTTTTTAATATGGTGCAAAACTAGGGGAGCAGAGAGCTGCAGCAGCGACAGGAAGCTCCCAAGTGATCAGGTGCTGAATGCAGTGGCTGAATATAGCTTTGAAACCAATTTCATATACTAAGGAAGAACTGGGCACAGAGAATTGTACAAGTAAAAACATGGGCTAAAAATGATGGACAACCAAGCATACACGCACACAACCCCCAAAAGCTTCGGGGTGACTGTGAAATCTGGGATACTGGGTCATGATTCATGTAAATGTGTTGCTATGGAACTTGCTTCTACTTTTTTCCATAAATCCATTATTGACACAGGAATCGTGTTCTTCATTTACTGTCTATTGTTAAGGGACATTTCAGGAACTGAATTTCCAAACAAAACAAAACAAAAAAACTCCCCAAAACAAAAAAAAACTAAAACCAAAACCCAAACCCAAACCCAACTCAAACAACAAATCTCCAAAGAGGCTGTAAATCTCTCTGACTGCCCTTGTGCAGGTCTTAGACATTACCTTATTTCTAAATAGAAAACAGTAAAACAGCCACAGCCTAAAGATCAAAGGAGTTGCCAATTTTTTCACAGAATTCTTCTTTTCTGGCCTGTTCTCCATGTATTATTAATTTGTATTTATATTTAACTCCAGCTATTAGTGCGCCTCTCCCAGCCCCTGAGCCTTTTTCAAGGGAGAGGAGAGGGAGACAAGGGTTGCTATTCTTAGGCATCCCTGTGTGTAATGAGGGTGGAGAAAATTAAATTATACCATTTGGCCTCTTTAAAAATGACAGAGATTGTTTGGGGTGGACAACTCAGGGCTGGTTAACATAACCTCTCCCCTCAAAAAGGTAGAAGAACACAGATACATTTCTGAAGTACTTAATTAAGTCTTCAGCAGTGAGCATGGGAAAATTATAGACCATAAAAACCCTCTGGTTCCAGGCAGGAGTAAATTTTCTCTGCAGTACTCTGTCACTGCTCATTTCCGGCATCAGTTTGACAATATCTCATGTTTCCACAAGGCTTTTACATAAGCTCTGAACAGGGACAGAAAGGTGAGGAACACAGAGAACAGTGACAAAGTCTGGACCTCCCACATCGTTGTTTCTTTTCATTTTTCCATTAGAGGGCGAGGTTAAAGAGTAGCATTTGAAGATGTTTTTGTTACAAGGCTGAGATGTTAATAATTTGTCAGAGAAAGAGGAAGGCTGTGAAAACTGCCACTGCTTGCTCACTCTTCCACAGGATGCCTGTAATTCAGTCTTAATGAAGGCTTCTTAACGTTCCTCCTCCAAACCTTTTTCGATCAGGAAAGCCTGGAATCTGTAGGCAAGAAAGATTACCCATTAACTTGTAAGCAGGAAGAATTCAGATTCTAACACTAAATTGTTTCCTGGTTTATGTTCCTGTATGCCAGCCTATTGTTCTTTATAGAGCCAAGTCTCCAAGAGATTCTACTCAGCAAACCACAGATGATTATATAAAGAGAAATTCTACAAATATGGTAAACATTTGCTAATAAATTGGTGGCAGTGTCAATTCAGTCGGAAAGGATGAATCTCCTAAAATCACCAACTTGACTTCTTTAGGAATTGTCTGTATCATGAAAGTCTCTAGACAGAAACCTTCGAAGTCTCAAGCAAATTATTACCTTGTATTCTAGAATATTGCCTCATTCCTGGATTCTTCTTATTTTCCCTTTGCTCAGGTTTTCTACTTTTATATTTAAGAGGCCAGAAGAAAATAAGTTGCTTGAACCTACAAAGAAGTTCTCCTAACTTTTGAAAAACGTTTCTGAAGATATATTTGGAAACCACCTCTTTTGAAATTTAAGAATCAATTTTATCATGAAAAGATAGATACCAACCTGATTATTCTCTCTTGAAAAGTATCTCTTCTCTATGACCTGTGAGGAACAAATGAAGATTTTAAGGCTTAGCACATTTACCTGGAAAAGCAGCTAACTGTAAAAGTCCATTAATGGGACTAAAATGAATACAGCCAAATTAAGAATCTTTTCAATCTTTTCCCACCTTTAATCCCAGCACTTGGGGTAGGGGGCAGAGGCAGGTGGTTATCTTGTGATATCCAACCCAACCTGGTCTATATAGTGGGTTCCAGGCTAGCTGGTACTAGAGGGAGACCCTGTCTCAAAAAACCAAACTAAAAAAAAAAAAAAGAAAAAAAAGAAAAAAGAGAGAATCTTTTCAATAGCTGTAGGCTATTTAATACAGTGAGTTAAAAATAAGGTGCTGGGGCTGGAGAAACGGTCAGAGGTTAAAAGCACCAGTGCCCTTACAGAGGACCCATGTTTGATTTCCAGGACCCACATGGTTGACTAACAATGGCAACTCCAGTTCCAACTGATCCAATGCCCTCTTCTGGCCTTGACAAGGTTTGCACACATGTGGTACACTTACATACATGCAGGTAAAACACTCAAATACATCAAACAAAAATAAACCAAAAAAAAAAAAAAGTTAAAAAAAGACAAATGTAGTTGTGTACCCCTATAATTTTGACACCCTACTATAATCCAATCCCAGAACTCACGAAGCAGAGGCAGGAGGATCATGAGTTCAAGGCAAGCTTGGGCAACTTACTGAGTTTTAGATTAGCCTGAGTTATGTAGTGAGATTCTGCCTCAAAAGAAAACAAAATTGGGCTGGAGAGATGGTTCAGCAGTTAAGAGCACTGACTGTTCTTGCAGAAGACCCGGACCCCGTCCATACTGTACCTGCATTGTAGATACAGCGATCACACCCCTTCCCTAGGAGTGAGCATGAGGTGCATGTACCAGCCAGTGACGTGCTGCTTGATGTGTAGAGTCCCTCGTGACGTAGTAGAGGAGGTGAGGGACAGGGACACAGCCCGCATCACCACTCTCAGTAGCCTAAGTTCCCCTAAACTTTTAGGAATCTGAATTCAGGCCAGACCAGAATTTGTGTCTTTGACTGAAAAGCATTTCAAGGACTGGCTGGTGTCTTGAAGCAGAGTAGGAAACGTTATTAAAAGTATTTTAGGGGCGGCTAAAAAGGGATGGCTCGCAGTTAAGAGCACTGGCAGTTCTTGCAGAGAACCCAGGTTCAGCTCTCAGCACTCACATGGCAGCTAACAACTGTTTGTAAGTAACTCTAGTTCCAGGGGATGTGATGCCCTCTTCTGGCATCCACCAGCATTGCATACACATGGTGCACTTACACATATGCAGGCAAAACACTCATATACATAAAAATTTAAAAAGGAAAACAAAATCACAAATGATATATAATTACAACTAAATAATGACAGAATGATAGAACATCCCAATCAGTTCATAGAGTATGCAGACAAATTTGGTCGAGTTCTCTTCTAGCATTCAGCTCCAAAAGGATCCATAAGATAAAGGCCAATCACTTGTGGGCTACAGCAGTACCACTATTTCTTAAAGGGTCTGTGTGATGCAGTATATTGCTATATCCCTACAGTGATCAATTTTGTACATCTTTAATAAGACAGATGACACAACATCAAATGGTTAATTAGCTTCCTTTATGGGCTTCACTGGCATCCTTAATTCGGTAGTTTCAGAACTATATGTATTTGGTCAGCAGGAGAAACAGATTAAAGCAGTGAATTGTTCTGCATAAACACATACTATTGAAAAACTCCCCACAAAATGTATGTTCTAATGTAACAAATTTGAGCACCATGCTTCCAGATGATGAAGAATATTTTTTAAATAATGAACTCTATTCTAGCACTTGAGAAACTGCATTGGTTGCAGAGACAGACTCTTTCTTTATATAGAGCTGTTGTGATAAGAAAAATAAGAACACAGATTAGGTAGAGATGAACTCTAAGGCATTCAAATCTGGAACGATGATGCTAAGAACTTGAATCAGAACACAGCCTGTCCTTTCCGGCTGTGCCAGCTTGAGCACAATGCCCTAAGAGACAAATTATCCAGCTTTCTTCTATCTTGGAGAATATGTCTGGGTTACAATATAATCTACAAGAGCCCCAGGGCAAAGATATATTCACTGGTCTCAGGCATAGAAAAGCTGGTTTCTGGCTGGTATGTACTGCAAGACAGTGACCCACAAAACCCCAAAAGGACTGATGCCTTTCCTCCTTCCTCCTTCTATGGTAGGACAGGGAAAGCGTGTCATTCTAGTGCAGAATTTCTCCTAGTTACGAGACTCTAAGAAGGACCTGGAGTTCCTGTAAGAGAAAAGCCTTGTCCTTAAATTCTATAAGGTTTAACATATAGAAAACTGGGCACACTGTATTGCAGGTGTCTTGTTTTCAGATATTCCAGTACAGTGTGCAAGACTGGCCAATATGCTTTTTTAAATTAAGATTTTTAATTTATATTTTTAATTGAATTTTTGTGCGTTTCATCTTTATACCCCTTCCCCTGTGCCCTCTCCCATCAGATTTCATGCATTCTGTCAGATTTAGGCAACAAAGAAAGAAGTTACCTTTTCTCTTTTGCTGATAATTATTTATTAGTATTGATTTTTTAACTTTTAAAAAATATTAAAAAAAATTTATTTATTATTTTTATTTTATGTGTATGCGTGTATTGCCTGCATGTAGGTAAGTGCACCCATGTCATGCAATGCCCACAGAGGTTAGAAGAGGCTGTCAGATCCCCTGGGACTGGAGTTGCAGACAGTTGTTAGCTGCCATGTGGGTGCTGGGATTTGAACCCGGGTCTTCTGTAAGAACAACCAGTGTTCTTAAGAGCTGAGCCATCTCTCCAGCCCCATACTCTTGACTTTTTTAAAGAATAAAGCTTTGCCTGAGAACTTAGGTTCTAACAGTATAAAATCCATTGTTTCTCTAGTATGTAACTTATTATAGTTTTTAATCTTAAAATTAATAAATATTTAAAGCATCTAAATGGTATACTATGAGACCCTTCCAGGTCAGACATAGGGTGACACTCTTAGAATTCTGTATCTAAATTGCATTTTTTTTTTGGCACCTAAATTTTGTATCTAAGCCAAGTGGAAGTTATAACATTTTAGGTTGAAATCAATATGGAGAGAAAATATGATTCTTTGCACTGCCTCCCAAGAAAATGCTAATGTTCATGCAGCACACTGGGGTCAACAGAAAAAACTGCTACTCTTCTAGCCCCTAACTCACAGGGGTGGCTATTCTGAGAAGTAGGAGAATCTATCTGTGTCCACCTGTCCCTTACCTGCCATAACCCAGTGAACGAGTTCTGAATGAGACAAAGTTTCCTTCCTGGACTAACAACACATATAGGACTGAACCTTCTGGTGACATTTTGAAAAGAAGGCTTAAATAGTTATGTACATGTGTGTTGTATGAATCGGATTCCTACATGTCTGTATATGTATCATGTATGTGCAGTGGCTCACAGGGGCCAGAGCAGGGCATTGGATCCCCTGGAGCTGGAATTACAAGCAGTTGTGAGCAGACCAATGTGAGTGCTGGGAACTGAAGCCATCTTCCCAGGCCTGAAGTATCTTTTACTTAAGAGAGTACACTTAAAATGAGATTTAAGGCCAGGTGTGGTGGTGCATTTCTTTAGTCCCAGAACTTGGGAGGCAGAGGCAGGCAGGTTTCTGTGAGTTCCAGGCCAGTGAGGGCTTGGTAGGGAGACCCTGTCTCAAATGAGGGAGGAGGAGGGAAGAGAATGGGAGAGGGAGAGGGAATAGTAAAGTCTACATTGGGCGGATAACAAACTTGGGCAACACAGTCATAAGGCAGCTGCATAGCCTTTGAGGAAAGACAGTGCTCTAATTTACCAGTGTGCTGAGTCACTCTAATTCAGCAACAAGGTGATGCTAGGAAAGAGTCAATGATAGAAATGCAAAGGCTTCTGATATGGAAACATTAGGCACTCAAAGAAGACAGTATAACCTGACAAAATAATAACATATATATGGAGAATATTAATAGCTGAGAGAATAAAAGGAACTTAACTTTAACTTCAGTTCAATGCCTTTTGGGAGATGGGGTAGTGAAAAATTACACAAAGAGCTAGAAATGGGTAAACAAATTGCTTTAAGGAGGGGAGTGAGGTGTCTTTTTAAGAACCGTAACTGAATCCAGTAGCCTTTACTCTGATTAGAGAACATTGGTGATGGAATAACTACGTCAGCAGGCCCTTGAGCAATTATCCCAACAGATAAGAGAGATCAAAACAGGCATTATTCAGGCTGTGAAGTTTTGGATAAAGAAACAAAAGGGCACAGCATTCCACAAAGAGTTTAAGCTCTCATATGTTAAGTTTAAAAATAACTTAATTGAATCCATTACCTTGTCAAAGAACCTACTGAGCTTGACCGCGTTGGAAGAGCCTGCAGCCAAGTAGCGGGGACTTGTGCAGTCCTAGAGAGCATGAGACACACAGTAAAAATTAGCAAGCAACAGCTCTTTGTTGGTTATGGCTGTAACCATTCCTGTTGTAGCTTTCTATACTAAATCATTAGGATACTCCATAAAATATCAAGCAATATTATGATGCATAAACAGGTCATTTAAACAATGTTAACTCTGAGTCAAGGTACTCATCATCAAATAATTCATAATGGAATTACTAATAGTTTATTAACAAAACCAAGGTACTAATCAGGTGACCTGTCTACATCTACTGTGAAAATCAGAAACATAGCCATTAGAAATAGTAGACACTTTATTAATATTTTAAGGCTAGTAACTAAAGTACAATGCAGTTTGTATAACAGCTGGAAACACGAAAAAAAAAAAGATTTAGTGGCCAAAGAACAAAGAGTTGTCAAGGTTTTTTCAATCTCTTCATGTACCACAGAGACATACTGGTTTTGGTGATAATAAACAACAGATACATTATTAGTAGTATTTAATAGGATTCTTTAAATAAGAAATCATGGTGCTCAGACAGACAAAACAATTTGGAACACTAAGTCATTGTAACAGCTTATAACAAAAGCTTATAATCCTTCTGTAGTTCAGTGTTCCACTGTCTTTGCTTGTCACTACTGCTTGCCACAACGAGAGAGAGTAGACTTTGACGTTTACCTTAAATGCCACCAAGACCAAACTATGTAGACATCATGCAGCCTCCTTTGCAAAGAGATGTCTTGCATGTATCCATGGGCACTCTGTGCCCCTTGAGGAACTCCTGAAATTACTTTCGCTATATTTAATAATTTAATTTTGTAACAGCCAGGCCAACATGATTTCTTTCTTTCTAATAAATTTTGTTAACAATTTCTTGTTTTTTCCAGATATAGAATTTCAAAGATCATATTTTAAATACTGCCCCCAAACTGCAATGTTTTCCAAACACACACACACACACACACACACACACACACACACACACACCCTCTCCCAAACACAATTAGCTTAAAAAGAATTTGGAAAATAAATGAGTATAGTAAGTCATTGTATCAATGTCCAAAGATCACAAAGCACTGGCCAGCAATCTTTGTATTCAAATATTGTGAGAACATTTCTAGATTGTGTAACCAGCTTAAGCCACTATGCCTTTAAAGCATCCTCATTTAATGAAATGAGGATGATAATACCTAGAAGGTCTCTGTGAAAATCAAATGAGATACTGCACGTCTGTCACATAGCAGACATTGGAATGTTAGTTCCCTTCTTCATTCTAAGAAAATGCTATCATATTAAAATTTCAAGAACAAAAGCATTTAATATAGGATTATACATACTGAAATAACACTGTACATACTTTTGTATTTGAAATAATGTTTGAACACATCTCTGCAGCAGTTGGACATATAAGAAATCAACCTCAGACCTGCATTAGATGTTTTACAAAATGTGTATTGATTACCCTACCATCAGAATGTTAAATGATGACTCTAAATAAAACTAAATTACTAAATACAAAAACTTAATCAGACAGCAAACAGAGTCCTATCTCTCCCACAAAACTTAACAGTAGGGCCCACGATTTCAAATTGAGTAGGAAATCTGAAACCCTATGATTTTTAGGATGAAAAATTTTGGAACCATCTGCCATTGATCACGGATGAGGGAAAAGCCTAAAAATTAATAGCTCTGAATAGTTTAAGCTTGAGAAATGACTATTAACTATAGAAAATAGTTCAGTATTGAAATAAGCATATAATAGAAAAATTTATACTAGATATAATAAGTCTAGCACATCTTTTTCATTTATATAATTTGTACCTACTTAGGTAGAAGGCAGTTTTTATTCCACTTTGATGTATACATGAGTTAGATTCTTCTCCATAGCTTTAGTTTTAGGTAAATTCATACATGAAGCAATTGGCTAGCACTAATGCTGTTACATTCATTACATTCAATTTGAGGTTTTATATTGACTTGCTGAATCTTTTTTGCTTACTCTCCTATTTTAAAACTCTCCCATATTTAGCTGTTCTCCTGAATTTTAATTCCTTATATCTTCATAGTCCTATTATTGTTTCTGCTGTGTTCTTAAAGGTATACCCAGATAAAAACCAAAAGCATGTTGTTGTACTTAACTCTTTGGAGACTGAGTGTCAAGTCCCACTGCTTATCTTTTTACCTTGCTAAAACTAAAGTTGGCCTTGACTTTGTAAGGCAAGTAGGAATAATATGTATCTAGCTGGTTGTCACCGAAATGAGTAGGCACTAGACACAAATACATTCAGAAATATATTAAAAGTTACCACTGGAGGGGCTGGAGAGATGGCTTAGCGGTTAGGAGCACTGACTGCTCTTGCAGAGGACCCAGGTTCGATTCCCAGCACCCACATGGTGGCTACAGGACCGTCCTTAGCTCCAGTTCCAGGGGAATCTGAAGCTCTCTTCTGACCTCTGCAGCACTGCATATAATAAATAAAATATTAAAAAAATTAAAGTTGCTATTGGAACAAATTAAGTGTACTTAATGGCAAAGTTCCCTCTCAAAATAATGTGTAAATAAAGTAACAGCAGCACTACTCTTACACAGAAAACATATATTTATATACTATAGCAGGAGTCCTCTAGAACATCATGGTTCAGAACTGACTGGGGTATTTACATTGAGCATTCCATGGCATCAGCCAGGAAAAAAGGGCACAGTGTACTGTACAGTAAAATATGAAAACAGTGGAAGGGAACAGAAGCTGACTCCCTCATGGGGGTAGAGGCAATGTTTACAAAGTTGAATCGTTGAGCAAAAACATCAGACTCACCTGACTCACTTTTTAAAGTAACAGTACTGGCTGAGTTGTAATTCATTGGCAAAATGAATGTTTAGCATTCACAAGGCCCAGCACCACATAAAAAAGCAAACACTTAACAGAGCACTGCAAGCATTATGAATAAAAGTTGAGAGACAGTCATTCAAAAATTTTCACAAGTAGTGTGGGTAATATAAATATTCATTCAGGTTTGTGTTAGTATAGATGTAAGAACCATCTGCCATTGATCATGGATGAAGATAAAGTCTAAAAATTAATACCTCTGAAGAGTTTGTCTAAGCTTGAGAAATGACTATAACTACAGAAAATAGTTTGGTATTGAAATAAACAGTTTAACAGAAAAAATTTATACTGGATATAATAAGCCAAGCACCTTTTTTCATTTGCAGTAAATGCAAATTATGTTGTATTATTGGTATGGATAATTTCAAAAAGTTCTTTTAGATCTAATATTTTAAATCTTAGTTGAAGGATAACTAAGGGGAAATAGGCTTAATGGTAGAACACAGGCTGTAGAGTCAAAGTGCCTTATTAAATTTGTGTAATTTTGGTTTGATTACCTGTTTCTGTTTAACTTCATGACATAAGGGCTGGGTGTGGTGAAGCACACCTTTAATTCAAAAACTTGAGAAGTACAGGCAGGTGAATCTCTGTGAGATCGAGACCAGCCTAGTCTACATAGTAAGTTCCCAGTGAGCTGGGGCTACAAGGAGACCCTAGACCCAGTCTCAAAAACAAAACAAAACAAAAAGCATGATGACACGTAGCCATAACTGAAGGTGTTGACGCCCCTTTTGGGGTAATGTCAGGAGCACAATTTCTTAGTTCAGTTCTAATTAATCCTGTTCTAATTAATCTAATAATCTAATAATCAGAGAGGGACTACATGAAAAACGTTATATAAGTTAGTTCTTATGGTGCACTCCTAGTTTACAGTTTGAAATTTTCTGTTTGGCTGCCTGTTAAGGCAAACTTTGTGTTGTAAGCAGCTGAGTCTTTTTCAAAAGCAAGAATACCAATGTAGAGTATCAGCTTAATCAATCATTATTATGAATTTGGTATAGTTTTAAAAAATCTTCTCAAGGCAGTCCATGATTTACATTATTCACATTATTCATAGAATACAATTTGAAGATTCCAACAGATCAGCACACAAATTCAAAGTTAAAGTGACTATCCATGTGAGTCTAGATTTGCACATTCTAATCTACATTGCAATTTGGACTGGTCAGAGTCCAACAGTCTGACTTTGAGTATAAAGCTTCTTTGAGTAGAATATATGACCTGAATATAAATCTTTGGTTTTTGTCTTTACCTGATAATAATACAAACATGCATTAGCGAAAATACATACCAAATTAATTTCTTCTGCATTGAAATCCTCAGCCAAGAATGCAGTCCTCGTTAAAACTTCATGGCGCTTGGTTTCATGAATCTGGTCCAGTTTAGTCCCTATTACCAACAGTGGGATTTGGTTATCAGCAAATTGTTCTCGATCATAATCCCTGTGATAAATAATCATGAAGAGGTAAACAGAATTTACCTTTCCAATGTAAATGTATAATATTTAAATGCAAGTAGCTTATACAATTTTATTGGTAATTATATGATTCCTGCTCATCTTTATCTATAAATCTATTCCACCAATTTATTCTACATATGTATTCATTATCAATCTATCATCTATTCAGTTCCAATTATTCTTCTTATTACTCAAAATCTGTTTCTATGTGTCTTTCTAACAGACGACCTGAATATTTAGGGCCTATCAAATGTATCATGATCATGTGACTTAACTATCCTCAAAACTCTGTCTTCTATAGTTAACAGCTTCAAAAATTTTCAGTGTAGAAGCAATGGGTTTAAACGGCAGTGTAGGAAAACCCAGGAGCTTAGCAATTCGATGCAAATATCTGTGTGGCATGCTAAAGCTCTATATCTTGCAAATGCACTTCGGGCAATAAATAGTTTAAAAAATGATCATGAGCTGGGTGTGGTGGGGCATGACTTTAATTCCAGCACTTGGGAGGCAGGGGCGGGTGGATCTCTGTGAGTTCAACACCAGCCTGGTCTACATAGTGAGTTCCAGGCCAGCTGGAGCTACAGGGAGACCCTGTCTCAAAAAATACCAAAAAACAAACAAACAACAACAACAAAAAACGATCATGTCACAGTAAAAAAAGATAAAGAAGCTGAAGATCATTATAAATAGAACACAGGTGATACTACAGCTGGAAAAAGATTAAACAAATGGAAATCAAAGGAAACAGTTGAAATGGAAAACGTAATAAAGGGCAAGAATTCAGTACCAAATAATTGCTCTGACATGACAGCCATGGGAGACAGAGGATAGACCATCAGATCTCTTGGGGTTAGTAGCCTTGGGTCTATTACAATCATTTTTCTTTCAACTTTTATCCAAAGGATTGAGTAGTAGTATAAATGATAGTTCTCATTACTGAAAGGAACAAAGTTCATTGTTGTTGAATTAATTTATATTCTATTCCCATATTTGAAGAAAGTAGATTTGGCTTTCTCAAAACATTACAGGTTCAATTTATGACAAGTCAGCAAAATCTGCCTTTGAACAATTTATGACAGTAAATCAATATTGTATAATTCAACCAATGAACTCCAGTTGACCATGGCTTTTTTTCTGTCTGAGCATTTTTCTTTCTTTTTGAGTAATTCTAAGTTGGGAAGGAGGAAAGGCTACTACTTCAGCTGCTATATCCTTCACAACTGTCTCGCATAGCCTCAGCTGCAGTTCAGTCTCAGAAGAACACGACTGTTTTGAACTCCATAGCCTATCTCATACAAATATCATTCTATTTATTTGCATTGAAGTCAATAACAGCTCAAATTCAACTCCTTTGAACCCACAGGTTCTTATCCACACCTGATTTAGGAGACAGTCTGAAACTGAAATTTGAATTACTGGAAAATTACATTTTCAGATATGCCCTTCAGGTTTTTTTTTTTCTTTTTCTTATATTCACTAGTTCTTTTTTGAAAATTTTTGTAGGTATTCTATCAAATACTATCTTTGAGGTACATACATCTCTGTTAAAGTCCTACATAATCTCTTGTAGATTATCATGTAAGCATATATACCTTTTTCCATTTTTTTATAACTTTTCATTTAAAAATTACATTCATTGAAGATACAAATGTATAGAATGGTGACCTCAATTACAATATTAATTTAAAAAGAAAATCATACCACTTTAGCTTTCCTGTATAATTTTCATTTATAAAAAAATCTTTTTATCAAGGGCTAGAGAGATGGCTCAGCAGGGAACCTGGGTTCGATTCCCAGGACTCACATGGCAGCTAACAACCATTTGTAATTCCAGTTCCAGGGGATCCAATGCCCTCTTCTGACCTCTGTGGGTACTGCATGACACAGGTGCACTTACATACATGCAGGCATAACACTCATACACATAAAGTAAAAATAATAAATAAAATATTAAATTTTTTATCAATTTGAAATTCAAACTTGAAATTTTTTTGAAACCACTAAGTGCAAAACTGATGGAGTTTATCATGAATAGACAAGGCTAGTACTTTCCTAAAAATCACAAGGAGACAAAACTATCATTTTATACATATAATATTACTTTGAGAAAATAAAAATTCTGAATCTTTTCAATATTATATTTAACCATCACTGAAAGAAAATTAAGATTAAAAGAAACAAGGTTAAAAGATACAACAGGGATAAAATCAACAAAATCCAGAATACAGGAAACTGTACAGAAAAAAAAAATCACCTGCTTCTACAAAGAAACTATTAAATAGTCTAAAAAGGGTGGGATAATATAAGATTAAAATATACTTAAGGGGGCTGGAGAGATGGTTCAGCAATTTAAAGCACTGGTTGCCTGACCAGGGCTGAGTACCACATGGCAGCTAACAATCATCTATAACCCCAGTTCCAGGGGATTTGTCACCCTCTTCTGGTCTCCATGGGCACTGCATGGCCAAGGCACTTAAGGACACATTCAGGGAAAACACTCATACACATAAAATAAAAATAAATTAATTAAGTAATTAAAAATATACTTAAGAAACCAAGTATAATGAGAAGGCCTTATTTATATACTGCTTTCTATATATCAACCACTAGAATTTTAGATAACTGGGAAAATTAAAATTATATCATATCATTAAAGAATTGTTACTTTTTAATTTTGTTTTGTTTTGGTCTCTTTGAGACAGGGTCTCTGTATAGCCCCAGCTGGCCTGGAACTCACTAGGTAGACTAGGCCTGCCTTGAACTCAGAGATCCCCTTGCCTCTGCCTCTGCTAGGATTAAAGGTGTGCACCACCTTGCCCCGCAAATTGTTACATTTTTATGACAACTTCAGGTTGGTTATGTTAAAAAGTCCTATTTTTTTAAAGTGCACATTGAAATCTACATGGATGAAATGATGTAATATCTAACATCTGCTTCTAATTCAACTGGGTGTGGGGGATGGTGCAGAGTGGGTAGAGGAATGGATGAAACAAGACTGGCCGTATGTTGGTAAAGTGCTGAAACTGACTGGCAGGTACATAGGAGTTATTATTCTTTGTATTTATGCCTTAAATTCTCTGTTGTAAAATGTTTTTAAAATTAATAAAAATTGATTTAAATTTTTATATGATTCAAAATGTAAGCTGATGTAAAAGATAGATCTAAGCAATCTTTTCTTAGCCATTCTTTTCCCCTGGTCTTGTTAAGTAATCCTTTTTATTCTGTTTACTCCTTTAAAATAGTGCTGAGGATTGAACCTAGGGCCTCACGTATGCTAGGGAAGCACTATACAGCTGAACTAAGTCTCTAGCCCCTTTCATTGATTCTGTATTCGAATATAAGTAGACATCTTTATTCCTCCCTTTTCTCATACATTCTCTGCATCTTGGTCTTTGAAACCTAGCAACATTTATCTTGTAGGTCTCTATTTTAGTATACAGAGATATTTCTGATTCTTTTTTAAAACGTTGAATAGTATTCCAGTATGTGGTTATACCATTATTTATTTAACAAATCTTCTCTTGGTGGGCTCTAGTGTTGTTTTCAAATCTTCTGCTGTTACAAAAATGTACCAAAAACGAAGCAATGCATTAATGTTTAGTACATGTGCAGGTTCACCTCTAAGATGAAAATGAAGCTATACAGTCAAAATGCAAATGTATCTATGCCATCTTGAATTCCTTGATACCGATGTGAATATCTTTCTGCATAAATAAATGATCTCCTAATGCATGGTGGTATACCCCTTTAATCCTAGCAGGCGGATCTCTGTGAGTTCTAGGCCAGCCTGTCTACATAGTGAGCTCCAGGCTAGCTGGGGCTACAGGGGAACCCTGTCTCAAAAAGACCAAAAAAAAAAAAAAAAAAAAAAAGAAAAAAAAAAGAGAATAGATTTCTTTAAAAATATTTTATTTATGTGGATGTGTCTGTGTGAGTAAATGCCATGTGTGTGCAGGTGCTCTTGGAAGCCAGAAGTTACAGGTGGTTGTGAGTCACTCCATATGGGTGCTGGGAACCAAACTTGGGTCCTCTGCAAGAGCAGTATGTACTCTTAACTACTAAGCCATCTCTCCAGAGACCAAGAATAAATTTCTTGAGTGATAATTAAAAAAAAAAATCAGTGAGACTAAAAGATCTTTGAAAAGGTTATAAAATCAACAAAGTGGTAGCAAGTCTAAAATGGAAAATACACAAATTACCAAGACCAGGGGTTAAAAAGCATACACTACTATGGACTATAGATATATCCAAAATAATGAACAAATACTATGAACAACACTATTCACATAAATGTAATAACTTAGAGAAAATGAATTCCTTAAAACTCAAAGATTACTTAAAGGAAATAGATGAATTCTTTTAAACTAAAAAATTACTTAAATTCACTGAAGATAAAACAGATTACTTGTATCATCCTATACTTATGAAAGAAATTGAATCTGAAGTTGAGAATCTTTCAAATAAGAAATCTCCAGGCCCCAAGTCTTCATTGGTAAATTCTATCAAAGAAGAAATAACATCAAATATCTACAATCTCTACCAAAAAATAGAACAGGAAGGGGCATTTTCAACCTAAGAGGCCAGCATTATCCTCAAAGAGGTCAAAGACCTTATGAGAACAGAAAAGTACAAGCAGTATTTTACATGAGCACAGAACAATAACAAAAACCTCATGAAAATATACCAAAACCAGAAAGATATAAATTGAATACATTATAACCATGGAATGGGAGGATGGTCCAGTATTTGATAATCAGTCAACATGATCTATCTATCATTCAGTGTGAAGAAGTCCATACATCCACAGCAACTTGTGGTGTGTGTGTGTATGCATATAAAACTTTTGTGTAGCTGCAACCAAATACCTGACAGAACTTCAAGGAGGAAAGATTTATTTTGGCTCATGGTTTCAAAGGGAGTAGACACATAGACCAACAGAATAGAGCTAGAGTCTGGAAGCTGACCCCTACAAACACCATCAACTGACTTTGGCAAAGGAACAAAGGCATTCAATGGAGAAAGGATGATCTTTTCATGAAATGGTGCTGGAACAAGTGGACGTCCAAACTCAAAATTCACTTCAGCCCAAACCTCACATCTTATATAAAATTAAAACACAGATCATAGATCTAATATAAACCCCAAATTATAAAATGTATAGAAGAAATACAAGAGAACATTTGTATGATCAGCCATTAAGCAAATGGTTCTCAAATATGATACCAAAAGCAAAATTCAGAATAGAAAAACTAAGAAATTAGACTTCAGTAAATAAAAACCATTGCTGTGAAAGACACAATTAAAGATAACAAAAAGACCATTTGTAGACTGTGAAACAGATGCACAAATCAAACATCTTACATTATTGTGTGAGGTATAGTCTTGGGATTGCAGCAACACTTCAAACCAATTGTAAAGTAATTCCAGGCTTACCCATTTGTCACTAAGACTCCAGTTGGCACCAAATCCCTATTGAGAGCTTCCAATGACCAACGACATAAGTTCTGAGATGACTTCTTATTCGTTAAGTCATGTACTAAAATAATACCTGAAACAAGCAGAGAACATGATGTCAGCACTCTATGAGCTCCTCTTCATTTTATACTAGACAAAGATAAGTGTAGTAGGTAAAGCTCCTAGGTCCTTAATGAAGCTAATAGTCAAGTATGCTGAAGAAAATCAGACAAATATTTTAGAATTTCCTTTATGAACACTTACAAATAATTAGCTATTAATCTTTGTCACTTACATAACTCTTAAAATTTTTTTTCAAAGACTAACAGAATGTCATAAATATTTAGAATGCCTTTTAATATTCTGCATTTAATACCTGTGGAGTGCTTACTTTATGTTTGGTCCTGCTTGTGGAATCATTTCATCAATGAAGAGCATCGAACCTACTTAAATCAATAACAAATTACATTCAAGAAATATGCTGCTTCTGCACTACGCACAATATTGTCACAGACATCAGTAAAAACACGTATTAGCAATAAAATGCACAAAATAGTGTCATTTTATTTTTTACACCTGCTTTTTCCTTAAAAAAAAAAAAAAACCCACGGTCTTACTACATAGAGGACACTGGCTTTGAACTCATTGTGTGGCTCAGGCTGGCTTGGAACTCTCAGTTCTCCTCTGCCTCTCAGATGCTGAGGTTACAGATATGAGCCACCACATTCAAGTCAATTGCTATTCTTTTTTTTTTAGGATTATATATTATTTTTATTTATGCATATGTATATGTCTGTGGGCATGTTTATGTGTGCCCACAGAGGCCAGAAGAGGGTACTGGATTTCCCGGAGCTGGAGTCACAGGAGGTTGTGAGTTACTCCATATGAATGCTGGGAACTGAATTCTGGTCTTCTACCAGAGCAGCAAGTGCTGAGCCATCTCTCCAGCCTCAATTGCTATTTTTGTTTCTGTCTTTTTGAGACAGGGTTTCCCTGTTGCCCCAGCTGGCCTGGAACTCACTATGTATACCAGGTTGGCCTCAAACTCTCAAGAGATCAACCTGCCTCTGCCTCCCAAGTGCTGGGATTAAAGGCGTGCGCCACCACGCCCGGCTTCAATAGCTATTCTTTAATAGACAAAATATTGTTCTGTATATTAGTTGGATCTCATCAACTCAAGAGTTTAATGTAGTTCTTTGAATTATGGTGAGCTATGTGAGACTGCTATCCTTAAGAGATTTGGTTTGCCAAGTGCAGTGACACATGCCTGTACCCTTCATTAGGGAAACTGAGGTGGGAGAACTTGAGTTTGAGGCCAGCCTAGACTACATAGCAAGACGCTGTCTCAAAAATCAAATGGGGGTCAGAGAGAGGAACAGGAGGAGAATGAACTAATTTACTTAAAAGAGTAAGAGTCTATGGCCATACTGCCCTGAGCATGTCCAATCTCATATGAAGTAGCAAAAGACATACACCACTAGAAGAGAGGAGGGAAGAGGTAGTCAAGAAGTATGAAGAGTAGGGAAACAATGGACTTTCAGGAAGTTGGAGAAAAATAAGAAAATGTTACAAGGCTCAGAAATATAACCAAACAGATCAGTTAAGATCCCAGACAGAAAAGCAATGCAGAAAAGCATTACAGTAAGATAAAGACAAAAAGAAAGGCTTCAATTCAATGCCTGTTAGAATTTAGAAAAATACCTTGTGGTCCAGGAACCATAAGTTTTCAAACTATTAACCCCTTCTCTTCCTATTTTATATTACCATGATTCTATTGGGAAAAAGACATGAAACGGATCGTTTCTCTACCTTCAAATGTGGGATATGCCAATTTTTAAAAGGGCATAAGAGGCAGAATTATTTAACTTTTCTAATTTTTTTTAGTCTGCTATATAAAATGATCTTAGACAAAAGGATGAGAAGCTGCATCGCCATCTGTGGAACGAAGGGGTTTATACAAGCTAGATGACTTGTTCCAACCAGCTTAGATAAATCTGTATTTCTCCTGGTGCCCAAAACAAATATAGAGATCTGACACTTGCTCCCATATCCAGCTGCATCTACACCACCTTTCTCAAAGACAGCTTCCCACAGGCACAAAGAAATAATTTTGTAAAAAAGGAATAATGAACTACCATTAAAGGATATAGCTAATATTTATTTGGTACTTATTGGCTATTGTGCTTTCAAAATTTTTGTAATACATTTTAAATTTATTTTGTGTATATATGTGGGCATACTGGCTATTGTGGTTTATACATGTTATCTAATTTTCATAACAGTCCTATGAAGTAAGAGTTATCTCCTTTCTATACATGATGACACAAGGATCGGACAGGTGGAGTAACTTGGCCTAGTCACATGGTAAATGAGATAGCAAGAATTTTCAGTCAAGTGTTTTGATAGTAAAATGTCATGGGAAAGCAGATTAAAATCTCATTTTGCGGGGGCTGGAGAGATGGCTCAGTGGTTAAGAGCACTGGCTGCTCTTGCAGAGAACTTGATTTTGATTCCCAGCATCCATAAAGCAGCTGACAACCATCTATAATTCCAGTTCCAGGGGATCTAATGCTCTCTTCTGACTTTCACAGGTACTGCATGACATGGGTGCACTTACATATATGCAGGTAATACACTCAAACACTAATAATGATAATAATAGTAACAATAATAATAATAATAATAGATAATAATAATAGAATCTCATTTTGGGCAAAGGAATGAGACATTTTTACTCTTCTCCATTTCTCAGGTATAAATATTCTCAAGAGAGTTAGTTGAGAAAGTAAAAGGGTTACAAAGGTCTATGCTGGCTACCAGAGGGACAAGGAAAAGGCTTTTTTTTTTTTCCCTGATGATCTTCAGAGAAGGATTTTTGAGCTTTTAAGGGCATTTGAGTACTCTTTTTTCCAATTCTTCCTGTTTTCATTTAGGTTGCAAGCTTTGTTTTGTAGAATATGAGCTAGAAACGTCAAGATGGGACCAGATGAAAGTAGTCAGAATGACAGCTGATGAGAACATGTTCTAATTTTAAGGGAGAACAGAGACATTTCATAGATCTATTAGGGTTTTAAACAGCAGCAGCCTCCCCCCTCCCCAATAGGGTCCCACACAAGCCTGAAAAAGGGAACTGAACTGATAAACACCTTGGCCTCTGAAGTCAAGGGAAGCAGATTTTTCTAAGAGGCAGCCTGCCTTTCCTCTGATCTCTGAAGACGAGGTAAGCAGATTCTGCCTGTTAACCAGAGATTTTAGGAGCTGTTTTAGTACAGCAGCTTTTCCCTTATCTTAGGAGGACAAAAAAGTAAACACTTCCTGACCCAGATCCTGGCTGGAAGACGGAACAGAGCCAGGTTTACAAGCTGTGCTTTTCCTGCTTCCCCCCGCCTGATTTTTCCCAAAAAACTTCCCGCCTTCAGCACCCTGAAGCCCCCATATATAAGCCCCAGCTCACAATCCATGGGCAGACATTTTCCCTTCCCTGAAGGGAACGTGTCCCCTGTGAAATAAAGCTCTATCCCACTGAGAGTTTTATCTGTGTCCTGGTGCCTCCTCCTCCATTCACTCGTTCTCCGCCAACTTTTTACCTATCAAGATCCTGTGGCGATTACTAACCTAGGTCATCTGAGTGGGAAGGAAGGGTACTGAAGGCAGAAAGTCTTCCTAAGAATAAAAACTATGCATTTGATTAGCATGATCCTTATGTTCTGCTTCTTGGAATGGTAGAAAAACTTGAGTGCTTGTGTCAAGAGAAACATTCCAGAGTTAGGGTGAGAGACAGGTTTTTCAATAAATGATTTTAAAAAAAATGTTAGAAAACAGGAATATATTTCAATCTTATAACTAAAATCAGTGTAGGATATATGTAATTTTTTCAATGATATTAAAAGAGACAAATCACAAATGAATACTAGGTTTCAAAGAGATAATCAAATATGGATGCTAGTGGATTTCTTCTTTAGCACTTAAAAGTTTGCAACTTAGGATTCCAGTCTCTAGGATTTAAATCGTTTTTAATCTGCATTATTTATAATTTTTTTTTTAAAGGCAGGGTTTCCCTGTAGCTCCAGCAGGCCTGGAACTCACTATATAGACCAGGCTGGCCTCAATCTCACAGAGATCCACCTGCTTCTGCCTTCTGAGTGCTGGGATTGAAGGCATGTACCACCACACCTGGCTTCTTTATAATTTTTATCCTATCTTTGTTGCAAAAAAATGTTTGGATATGTTATTACACATTTCAAACTTCCCCATGTCAGATTTAATTCCTATCTACTTTGACAAATCACTTGACTAATATTATTTTACCACTTGATTCAAGTTTAACCCAGTTTCAGTTCCTTCCTTTTCTCTAAGTCATTTCACACTATATCATTCTAATCTTTCTGTTTCTAACATATCTATGTGTGTGTTTTCACATAGATGTGTGTATATATATATATATATGTTCAATTAATAAGTATCAGTATTCTGTACATTCTTGCATGATTATGGCATGTATTCATGTCATATTTTAGCTTTGTTTTGTTCCATTTATGAATTTTTTTCCTTCAATTACACTATGATATTTTCAGACAGAATTCAGAGCTAAATGAGATATGGTGTTGTGAATTAACACAATTCCCTTTGCATTTTATAGTATGTATCCAAGAACTTTCTCTATTTCTTTGTGTGTGTACAGAGTGCCTTACAATATGGAAAGACATTGAAAGAGAAATATAAGGAAGATACTGAATAAATATTCTACTGGATATGGTGAGGTGTCAAGTCTTTTGGTACATTAATCAAACATACTGGTTAGCTTTTATTGTCAACCTACATATTAGAGTCACCTAGGAAGAGGGAACCTTACTTGAGGAGTGACCTCCATCAAACTGTTATGTGGGTATGCCTGTAATACATTTTCTTGATTGCTAGTTGATGTAGGAAAGTGCCCAGCCCACTGTGGGTAGTTTCATCCCTAGGCAAATGGGCCTGGACTGTATTAGAGATGTAGCTGAATGTAAGCAAGAAGAAAGCCAGTAAGCATCATTCCTTCAAGGTCTTTGCTTCAGTTCCTGACCTCAGGTTCCTGACTTTCTCAATGATGGACTGTAACCTATTAACTGAAATAAACCCTTTCTTCCCCCAGGTTGGTTTTGGTCAGTGTCTTATCATAATGACACAAAGCAAACTAGGATACAAACATAAGTTGAAATTATATTTCACAGTGAAAAGAGTTTTTAAAAATAAGAAAAAGGAACTATAGACAAATTACAAATATTAAGTGGTGATTTTAGTCTTTTGACAAGTAATAGACACTCTACAAACTGCAAGTATGTACTCTATTATATACCTCCATCTGGAAGTCAGCTTCAAGTATTTGAATATTTTTAACTGGATGAAATTTCTGCATCTCCAAAACACTCCTTTAGGCATCTATTTATAATTATATAGGTTCATCTATATAATAGATATAGGTAAAAAGCAGATAAAAGATGTCACTGACATCCAGCTGGGGGGACTCTTTCTTATTCAACTGACTGAGGTAACAGCATTCCCAAGGGATGTTGTTTTGGAAGTTCTGTGTTTTATATCAAGAACCCCAAATATTTACATTTACTTATCAATATTTAAGTTTATGAAAATAATATAAGTAGAAGGACTTAGAAAACACAGGTGTTTACTGTTCTGAGTCACATGGTCACACTACAGAAAGAAATGAGACTGTGATATGCAGATTTACATCAAGTAAATTGTGAATATATTAGCTTTCTCTCATCAAGATAAGCCTGGTATGTCACAGCATTTCATGTCAGATGATCTACACTCACAGACCTTTAAAATATGGTAGAAAAAATGCTTTACCATTTACAGAGTTGTAGAATACTGCTCTCGTGCTTTTCACACAGCTGGCACTGCCCACAGAGCCTCCAACATCCCATAATTCTATATAGTAGGTCTTCTCTTCTGGGGTTCCTTCTTTGTAGTCATGAACCTAACAGATCAATTAAAATAATTATTAAAGACACAAAATAAAGTGGTAAGCATCCTTATTCAGTTTAAAACACTGGCCTCCCTGCCAGTGTCTCACTCTCTTTCATGTCTACTTTCTTTAATACTCCAACTCTAATAATCTTCAACCCTGTTGGACTCTAGACTTAACTGATGCTAACATCTTTTATAATGCCCTCCCCCCTTCTACTTTCAAAGCCTCACTTCCTTCCTGAGCATAAATTCCAGGATCCACTCTTACAGTCAGTCACTGCTCTTTAGCTCCTCTTTTACACTATATTCATCCAACGAAATTCCAATCCTGGCTATAGCACTTTCTTCTTTTATTCCACATCTGCAATTCCTGAATGTGGAGCTCAGAAAAACACACATTCTAGTTAACTGAATTTACTTCAAATTCAAGTGCACCTGTGGAGTCATCCTTCCATCAATTGTGTAGGTCATTTTCCTTTTCCTGATAAAGATTTCTTACTTTCTTTTTTCCACATTCAATAAAGGTTAACTTGTTTCCTAGGATAGAATAAAAAAGAAGAACGTCTACCACCTGCTCTTTCCACATATCTCGACCTCCAGAAATGTATGCCCATATAATCTGCTTTTCTCCGCAGTCTAAATCTTCTCTGTATTCAATCCATCCCATTTTCCCACTCAAAGATGTAGTTACATCAGTTCTTCCTGCTCTTTATCATGGCATTTTCCTCTTCTGCTGGATAATTCTCAGCAGCATACAAGTACTTCTTGTCCTCCTGCAGTTACTGCACCAGTTCTCTGTTCCTTTACACAGAAAAAGTCCCCCACAGTTGTCTATTTTCAGTTCAAATTCTTCTCACATTTTCTCTTTAAAGAGTTTTAATTTGTGTGTGTGTGGGGGGGGGCATAGCATGCATTTGGAGGTCAGAGGGTAACTTGTGGGAGCTGGTTCTCTCACTATGTGGGTTATGGGGAATCCAACTCGGGTTTGGCAGCAAACACCTTAGCTACTGAGGCATTTCACTGGCACGCACATTCTCTTTTGAACTTATTTTTATGCAGCCTTTGTCCCAATACCCCCACTGAACTATTTCTGGCTAAGATCACCGTTACCTCCACCTCACTGACACCATGGTTAAGTTTTTGTTTACCCCATCACAACAACTCACTCCTCTGTGTTCACCACACTTCACTTAGCTTCTATGATCTCCCACTCTACTGGGTTTCTTCCATCCACCAACTTGTCCTTTCCAGCTTCCACCTGGATTCTTCTGGTCTCTGACCTCTAAGCATGCATCCTAGGGTTTAGTTCTTCAGTCTTTCTTTCCTATCAATATTCTGACAATTTCATCTATTAAAATTTTAAAGTGTCATTTTTATGTTATTATTTCCTTATTTATATCAACACTAGGAATGTTAGAATACCATATTCACCAGACTAAGTTGGGAATATCTAATAGGCACTTCAGATTTAACATATCCCAAAACAACATCCTTATCTTCCCAAGCCTGTTCCTTTCCCAGTTTCCTGTCTCAGCAAAAGGCAATTCTATCCTTTCAGTTAATTCAGTTAAAAACTGAGGAGTGAACTTTGACTCTTTTCCTACTGTACATCTGATCTGTCAGCAAAACCTGTTCCTTTGATCTTAAAAATATGCCAAGATTTTCATTTTTACCACTTCCACATTTATCAGGTCAAAGTCTCTGATTATCTCTTTGCCTAATTAATGTATGGCCTCCTAACCAGTTTCTCCACTAGAGGCATTCCCCTATCGCATCTGTTTTTCACATAGTATTAGAGGGATTATTTTAAAATCCAAGTGAGATCATCTCAACTTTCTGCTCAAGACTCTCCAATGACTTTCTTATTCCCAATAAATTTCCAGATTTTTTTTTCTCACGATCTATGCTTTTACTGCCTATTTAACTGTTCAACTATTTAACTATTTAGAACAAATTTTGATATACAACAACTAGATGTGTGATAATTCAAGGGTAGACTTTTCTAAGAATTTTAAAAAGAAATAGAGTACACCTGTAATCTCAGCACTGAGAGGCTGAAGCAGGATTATGGATTTGAGGCTGGCCTTGGCTATACTGTACAATCTTGTCTCACTACCTCAGTACCCTGTTCCCCTCAAAAAATAATGTCAAGATAACAGATGCAGGTTCTTTGGGTGAGACCCAGGTACATAATTCTCTAGACAATTGTGCTGTGACTCTCTGTTGAAGAACTGCTCATTTTATAGAATGGAATCATTCTATATTAGGATTATACTTTTTTCCTGTGGGGGGGGGATTTTTTTTTTTAAATAAAAAAAAACTGTATTTACTTGGAAGCATTCAAATGTCAACAAAACAGCTGCAATTTTTTTCTTTTTTGCAATTCAGAGTGGTATTCAGTTAACAGAACAACAATTCTTTTCGTATAAACGGTATCAGAGACAAAAATCTACCATCCCCATATATAACTAATCTGTGCTGTGCACCAACAAGAACCTGCTTTAAATTCCCGCACCAGTTTACAGCCCCCATACTGAACCAGGCAAGGTCAATGGCTACTGAAAACACTACCAGGACAAAGTCTAGCTAAAGAAACATTGGGTAGTGCTAACTATACAAAAAAAAAGACACTGTACAGTTTAAAAACAAATCTTACACAGCCCTACGTTTCATTTTTTTTTTTTTTTTCGTTAAAAGGAATGAGTTGTGTCCAGGGGAGTTAAATGCTTTACAGATAAGAAAAAAAAAAACTGCGCTAGAACAAACTTATTCGTCATCATCTTCTTCATCTTCCCCCTCTTCCTTCTTTTTGTTGCTCTTTCCAGCCTTGACAACCTCCTGCCCCCCCCCCTTTTTTTTTTGCAGCATCAGGTTTTCCTTTAGCTCTGTAGGCAGCAATATCCTTTCCATATTTCTCCTTCGGCTTAGTGGCCTTCTTCTCCTAAGGCTGCTTGTCATCTGCAGCAGTGTTCCACATCTCTTCCAGTTTTTTTGCAACATCACCAACAGATAAGCCGAGATGCTCTCCTTTGATTTGGGGGCGATACTGAGGACAGAACAAGAAGAAAGCCAAAGGAGGCCTCTTGGGTGCACTGGGATCTTTGAACTTCTTTTTTGTTTCCCTTTTAGGAGGGTTATAGGTTTTCATTTCTCATAATGAGCCTTGTCAGCCTCTGCCATGTCTTCAAACTTTCCTTTTCCTTTAGCAGACATGGTCTTCCACCTCTCTGAGCACTTCTTGGAAAACTCTCAGAAGCTGATGAAAGCATCAGGTGCTTCTTCTTGTGCTCCTCCTGGCAAGTTTGCACAAAGAATGCATATGAAGACATTTTGCCTCTCGGCTTCTTAGGATCTCCTTTGTCCATGTTTAGTTGTTTTTCCTCAGCAAGGCACAGAGTCATCCAGTGCCTGTCTGCCTCTCACTTGCCCTGGCACTGTCTCTATGGAGCTCAATGTACTGCAATGGCTCAGGGGGGGGAGGGGCGGTTTGAGACAGGTTCTCACTATGTAGTCTTGGCTGGTCTGGAACTTGCTATGCAGACCAGGCTGGCCTAGAATTCACAAGGATCCACCTTCTCTGCCTCCTGCATGCTGAGATTAAAGGCCTGTGCTACCACAGCAAGCCAGGATTATTACTTCTTGATTATCATGAATCAGCCCTGATATCTTTAAGCCTCAGTTTGTTTATAAAATGAATGAGTTGCATTATGTAATTTCTAAAGTATCTACTGACTTTAAAATAATGATGAAAAAGACACCTCAGTACTTTAAAAAGATACCATGAAATCCACCAAAACTCACATATTATATTCAACAGAATGTGTTAACACTTTTATTATATTAATTTTTTTTGGGGGTGGTATAAATCCTTTTGGTCAAGAAAAAGTTTAAATATGTTACTTTATGGATAGAAGATAAGAATCAGACTAACAGGCTGGAGAGATGGCTGAGCAGTTAAGAGCACTGGCTGCTCTTGTAGAGGACCTGGGTTCGATTCCCAGAACCCACATGGTGGCTATGAATCGTTCCTAACTCCAGTTCCAGGGGAATCCGACGCCCTCTTCTGACCTCCATAGGTATTGCACGACATGGGTGCACTCACATACATGCAGGCAATACACTCATACGCATAAAAAAAATCAGACTAACAATAAAGACAAGAAGAAAGAAAGTGAGAACAGCAAAGTCACAGCTGCTGGGCACTATTTTGGAAAATGGAAATTAATACTGTATATTGCAATAAAAAGTATCACTATTTTGCTATATGACAATAACTGATAACGTGATTATACTAAATCATCAGAAAGTTACACTACATGAATTTTAAGAAAGCAAGGAAATATGACATATTTTACAAATACTTCTAAGCAAAACTACTGAACTAATATCAATGCCATAGGGAGAAATGATCTGTTATGAAAAGGCTTAGCACGTCCATGAATCTTTCCTGATCCTACCTTCCCCGACATCCCAAACCAGGAAGGTTAGGTCCCCTCCTGTTTACTACATAACACTTTGTACATTGCTATCATTTCAGCGACTGCACTGTCTTACTTATTTCCTGATACCTCTTCTATCACACTTAGAGCTTGAGAGCAGGGGCCATATACTATTCATCTTTGTATCCCTAGAAAATAGCATAACACCTAGTACATGTTCAGTGCTTTGACATTATTAAATTAATACATTTAGGTTATCTCATCATATAAAATTTTATTGTATTTAGTTAGTTTAATGAAGCTTCTGAGATGGGATCAAAAGCCTGAATTTTTGAAAGAGCTCCAATAGGAGTGCAGTTCAGTGGCAGAGCCCTTGCCTAGCATGTACAAGGCCCCGTATCTGATCCCTAGGACTGCGGTGGGGGGGGAGGATAATAAAGTTCCCCACATGACATATAACTAAGTTTCCATTGTAGTATACCACTTTTATCACTAAAATTATTTCAAATGTCTTATACTGCCTCACCTAAAAGGTTATAACTCTTCTGAGAAACTTCAACATGTAATCTAA